CCTAGATGCTGGTTGGGTCTTTCGTGTATAGCACGTATTAGATAGAAGTAACTGGTAATCCTGAAGAAAGATCCCGGCACGCCAAGACTTACATAGCTAGGGGGCAACGAGGATTTTAATAGGGAATGACCTAGGTAATGCGCAACCATCCTACATACAGTTGTACTTGCCTTAGGTAGGCTAAGTATCTTTTTAATGCACCTGTGTACCTGCCTTACCTGCTCAGGGTTGGTCCTAACTGTCAACCTTAATTTGTATGTATTACCTGATCTGTCCATTCTTTTTCTGGAGCCTTTCCATTTAGATGCTTAGACAGTGCTAGCATTGGTCCAGCGGTGTACCTACCTGGGAAATTACCTCCTTCTCCGCATCAGAGCCGCCTTGGCCGCGTGCGTCGGGGACCCTCTTTTTCTTACAATGTACATATCTCCCAGTTACAAGTCCCAGGACGGGTGGGGCTGGTATGTACCCGATCCAAAGCTGCAAACCTCTGAAGCTCTTCGGCGGGCAAGTAATACGAAGTACATACATAGTACCTAAGGTACGCCACTAATAATTCGACCGATACCAAAGTAGACTTAGCGACCATCTAACCCCACGCCGTTCCATCAGCTGAGCGCTACGCTTCATGCACGAAGACATGCAGTTTTCTTTGACAATATCAATAACAGCAAGGGATACAGAAAGACTAACTAACAAAAACAAGGTAACACAATCAGTACAAGGCGCATATACATGTAACAATACCTTTCCCTATAAAGTACAAAATTGCAATGCTACTACTACATACATACGGTACACGGTACACGGAGATGAAGAGATCCTAGATAATGCTCGCCACCAATTTTGATTGGTCCCATGGCTCTATGCTCTTGGTCGTATTTCTTACCAGTCCAGATTCAATCGTAGCCCTATACATAGTATGATGCATACCATATACGACTCTCGCTTCATTAAACACGCGAGCTGCCTAATCAAGCAATTGCCAAGAAGATGGAATCCCTCTGCCTAGCGAAAAAATGGTCTATGTTGACCAACCCGCGTCTAATTCGAGATCCTTCTTACGTTAGCCGCGTAGCACATTGAGTGCCAAGCGCTCCCTTTAGTCTCATCGTAGCGGGAAGATAACGCTATTCTATTTCGATTCCATAGATAAGATCTATGTCTTCGTCCTATTTATATAGCACCCTAAAAACGAGGCTTTTTTCTTCTCTCCTTCGTCATATCGCTTCGAACACCTGCCTATTTTTTATATTCCGAAAATACTTTGGTGTGGCTATAATCGCAACGGAATAAATAGTTAGGGCACCGCTATCTGGTTAGTAATATGTCTCAGACGGGTGTCCTTTAGCACAAAGAGCATGACATCACGTAAAGGTAAGCTAAGTCAGAAAGACTAAGATATGCTACATACTACAAGGAATCGAAACGAAAGCATAAAGCAATAAAGGCATATCACGTAACCGGACAAGTGGGGAAGTCTATGAGAAACGCATAAAGTAGAAAAAGGAGAACGAGGTCGGATGAATATTTCATGAAAGACATGTGGCTGTAAAAAGTGAAAATACAAAAACACCCACATATTACTATAGTAACGTCGAACTATCGAGTTCACAATTGCTTCGATCATCTAACTCTGATTGAGGAGAATAAAAAGAAATTCTGGTCAGGGAGAAAGGCTGCGGTCATTGCTAGGGGGTACCACTTGGTACCCCTATAACATCAAGCTCCATATCATAGTCATCATCATCCCAGAATTGAAGAAAATATATTTGCTATACACATGAATTGAACCCTGAACCTCGAGAGAGGTTCATGATGCTCTTTACATGCGCATGCGACCACTAGGCCGTTTGGTGGTGTTAGACTTCCTTCTTAACGTGAACTATCTGTTAACTTTTGGAGGGGTTGTCACTGGCAGGCTCAGGGTTTTTTTTGACGCCGATGATGATCACGTCAAATTTGACCCTGTATGTCCCTAGATGGCTCACCATATGCAAGCCTATGTACAAGCCCAGGAAGATAAAAGAGTGAGGGAGTATAGAGGTAGAAGTATATCCTCGTTACAATATACCGACAACGAGGTCACAATCTAGTATATCAAAGTCATAACTAGCTCACGCGGTTCCCATAGTCTTAAGAATTTAGCCGTGCTACGAATACGTGTCTGTAATAAGACTCTAGATACTTAACAGGACAGGCATATCTTGCTTTAAGGTTGAACAATACAGCATATGAGCCGTTTGAAAGAAAACACTTTGCAAATAAGGGAATACGTACAGTGACAATAACTTCCGCATATGTGACTATACTATGATCCCGTCCTGTGTAATTTGCAGGATTGGGGATAGGATGACCAGTTGTCTGTTACACCATTTCTTCCAACACAAGCAAGTTAGAAACTTTAAACGAGTTGATAATATTCTAAAAGTACAAATGACTAATAAGATAACAGTACACAGAGGGGAGGTTAGTTTATTGGTAATGGACAGAGTACACTACTCTTCCAGAATATTAAGGGATTAGTCTTAACTCAAAACACTAATAACTATCTCCAATGACTTTGTAGTTTACATAAATTGAGCCTGATTTTCACCCAGCAAAGCGTAGTAGGAGATTTTGCCATTGTCGATCTGCCAGGTACTACCCTTGGTGTTCTAGTCGTTTAGTTTATAGCCAATAACGCCCGTTTTGAAAGTCGTCTACAGATACCTACTCACTACCACAACTAGAGACACAATCGCTGCTATGGTAGAAACTATCCCTGCCAGAAATATTACACTTATAAATCTTATTCCCATTCTCATCAAACTGGCCCTTGGACTCCTTGAAAGTGAACTTGTGGTGGTCAACAGCAGTCTCCTTTTGTGGTGCTGTTAGGATTGTAACAGGTGCCAAGGGTATAATAAGTATAGTATCATAGAAGTACGTTTTAAATCCTCCAAATAATTATTATCAGTGTTGAATTGGATGGTTGATATTGAAGATATATAAGGTGAATGTTTCTGGGATCAATGACTTGACTGACAATAAGATTGACACTAAGAGGATAATATATATATCATATTTTATAGTTACTTCATTAGATACCAAAGACTTATGATATCTTGAGGGGTCTTCTTGGCCTCTGACACAAGACTGGAATCAGTGTGTATTCTTACTTCGGTCTATTTTGAGGGTGTTAAGGTAAGGGGTAGTTACAGGGGCATATCTACTATATAACAGGCGTGTGGCTCCCCTGTAATAGGGTAGAACAGTTAATACTAATTCTATTCATCTATCCCGATATTCACTCTATGTATAACATCAATCAAGGGTATACTATCTAACAAAGGACATACCTCTCAAGACGTAGCTGTAGAATGCCATAAATATAAAGGTGCTTGATGATTAAATTATCTTTTTCAGTAAATATTACATAGGAAGATTCTTAGGAAGCTGTGTATATATTGACCATCATGTGTACAGGAATAACAGCAGAGCCGCAGCTATAGATCATTCTAACGACCTCTATATCGTGTAACACAGTCTTCACCATTAACGCCACAGCTTGCACTGATTGACAAAGAGGATTTCAACCAGGTTACGAATAAGGTGGTCTTCCGATATGGCATTCTGTATGATGCAAACGCCAAAATCGTTGTATAACTCTACCTCTCAACAACATATTTAGGAGTCAGTTATGACGAATACTCACATTGCTAGATGCTAGTAGTTGAGTAAACAATAGTGTAGGCTATAGCAAAGGCATGTCAACGTGAGAGACTTCATATTATTTGTTTACCAGTTAGTCATTGTTACATCAATTAGTCACTGCTATAATCTTTTGACTTATTCCCTTATATCTTAATCTTGGGCCTGATTAAAGTATATCTTTTATAATACTTACTTAGGCACTTATTCAACAAGAGGAAGAAAACAAAAGTTTATATACTAAACTATATCTTCATTTGAAGAGTTATAGCTAGAAAGAAATAGTCTTATGTTATTGTCCTATATCTACCTAAGCAAGTTCCCGGATATCTGTTTTTCAGAATGTCTCCTACCTACTCTACAAATTACTCCAACCTGACTATTTAGCTGTAGGGGAGTATAGATAGCTTAGTATTATTAACTATAGGTGTTAGTATATAAGAAGGAACTAAAGACACAACCCTTTCAAGGTATGAAGAGCTATAAATGCCAGAAACATGATTACAACTGAGCCACTAATATAGCCAAAGACCATTTTCCATAAATGTCTCAGTTATTCAGAGACCCAACAATAAGTTTATTATTAACTCCACGGCCGACTGTTATATATTCAAAATTTCTTGGACCTGCAAGATACCAGATGTCTGGGCATGCATCTAAGGGGCACTCTTTTTCACAATAGCTCCACATGTCTTAGGTACTCAAGTATATATAAATAAGGGTTTAACCACTCTTTGTATTGGATGAATGGTTTAGCTCTGCTAGGTAGGTGCACTACTGTGGCCGGGATGCCTCAAAATAGGGGCATAACGCGTCAAGACGCGACATGGACCGAATAGGCATCTACGTTTTCTAAAACTCTCGGTGTAGCAGCAATGGCAGAATCTTCTACGGGGACAACCTGGTTACCGCATTCTTTTTCTTCCTGGCCAAAAAAAACTGTAACAATTCAACCTTTGCCTTTCAGTCTACCTAGTCAAGCTCCGTACTATCACATCTTCTACTACATTTTAACCATTATCTGCTTATTCAACCTAGCATTATACTGTCACACTTTCAGTCACCCTCACCATCCCCTGGTGGACGATTCCTTCATCTAGGTTTCTATCCTAGGTACCAATAGGCAAGTCAAAGCAACACAATCACGCAACTGTGCCTGGTGTTATCACTAACCGATGATAGAAGGACGAACATTCCAACATAGTAGTCCATTAGTGGCCTGACTGTGTGTTTGCCTTGTTCGTTCTCCTCTCTGGTCGCCATACCCTTTTTACTTCGTCAAATACCTTTGATATAACACTCTCAATATGGATGTTCTTTGCCGAAAGCTCTATGACTGCAACATCAACTTCACCCCTTCAAATTCAATAGAAGAGCTGTTCAGGAACCTAGGAGACCCCCTAGACAACGATAAGAATTGTTACAGCAGTATAGATGAGCTGGACACCAAGTATCGACGAGTTCTACAGGATTTCTTGAAAAAAGCAGCTTCTTCTCCCCCAAATCACCCATATATCTCAACCTTCATAACCGTCGCCCACCAAGTTCTCGCATGTAACCATGGTATACATGTTGCCTTTGTTGAACGCCTAGCTCACATGGTAGTTCATACCGGAACCTACTACCCAGGACCTTATGAACAAGATTTCTTTTCGGCGTGCAAATGGATATACCAAGGCAGGAAAATACAAGATCTAGCAGCACTGAACATGGAGGCCGATCACAGCGGAGATAAGAATGGTAGGGGAGATAATGACGGGACCGACAATAGTAGCATCGCCGACGGAAGGAGTGATTTCAGGAGGGTCGCCAACAGAAGCAGCAACTACAACGAGATCGCCGAGGGCAAGAGAGATAATGGTGGGGACACCACTAGTATAGTTAGCAATAGTAGGAGCGACAACTTTCCGGACGACAATGGAAGTGACGGTAATGACAGGGGCGACAATGATAGGAGTAGCAATGACAGACTTGACATCTATGAAGCATCTCTAGTTCCTAACTCCTATAACTCCTACAACTCCCACAACTCTCACAATTCCCCAGCGTCGCCGACCAGACAATGTGCCCGATGTGGTATTTCAAACCTATTTCTAACCTGCGGCAACTGTCTACTAAAAAGGGGTGCTCAGATTACCATGAGCACGGTCTATTGTAGCCAGCGATGCCAAGAATTAGACTGGCCGGTCCATAAGCTGGTATGCGTTAATCGCAAGTAGCTTATGCGAGCTGTGTCCTTCATGGATAGTTTATTTTGCATCATGGAAGCTAAAGCAACTACCTTTTTGCTTAAGTCATGCTGGGAAGAACGTGGCATGACGATGTTGAAAGAACACAAGCCATATATATTGGCCATGCTTGGCTGCTACATGACGCGACCGTTTCCCTTTGGCGGATTCTCTACGGAGCAACATGCAAGAATGGTCCAGAGTGATCAGTATGTCCGGGAGATGATGTACTTGATTGGCCCGTTGAAGGCATTCTTCTTAGACGGTAAGTCAAGCCAGACTCTCTTTGAAGTTACTCACAAAACTACCTAATCTACCTATAATCATACTAACAACTTGTAGACCTATGTCAAGACTTTAAGATAGTCACCATCCTCGCCAAGAACGCCGATCGCCCACTTTGCCGCAAATCGGAAAACAACATAGAAAAGTCTAGCATGATGGACCCCCACAGTGTTCTTCGATTAACACTCCCATCCGGCGAGAAATTTGCTGTCGATCTTGCCGCAGGACGATTCGGATGGGTCGAGAAGATGATGCACTGGAATCGATTTGAGGAAGAGCGAATCTGGAAAATCATCGAGATAACTTGCACGATCCCACTCGACTTCAGAGACCCCTATATCCCCGCAGCGCAGTCCATCCTCATCCACAAGGAAATACTGGCCGACTTAATGGGCCACATCAATTTCCGCATACACTTCGGTACGGACAGATGGTCTACCACCCTAGATATCCTAACCAGAGTCGACACGGAAGAGTTCTCTGATTGGCAGTCGGATCTCCTCGAGAGAGCGATAGATCTCTGCGAAGAGACATTCACAATACGCTTGAGCAATCACCGCGGCTATATGTACCTCACCCCTGAATTCGACTTGTGCGTCACAGCTGAGGGAGCAGACTATGACGCCATTCAAAGTGCCTGGATGACGGAGGAAGAAGTTATACGGCTCGAGGGTGAGAGGGAGGAATTGCTAAAGGGGGTCTAGAAGGCCCGTCTTGAGAAATTTCGGATTAGATTCAAGCGCGCTGCGCTACAGATCGAGGAAGCGCATATAGATTGAGTAGCGGTATCGAGGTGTGTTGAGGTTATGTACATGGCGGCATGTGAGATTGCCATGTTCTTTGAATTGGTGTCGTTTCCTGCCTGTGACGATAGCGCTTTGTTGTGTGTCTAAGTAAGGTCCTTTCTTAGTTGGGATGGCATTCAAAATATTCGATGCCCAATGCGTTGCATTGATGTACTCCCCAAGATGACTTAAACATCAGTCTCCTCGTCGAGGGCCTTACCCCTGAATGAAGCATGCCCCTGATTCTCAGCCGAGTTTTGATTAGTAGGCCGATAGTCACGTATGACATGGAATGGCTCCGTAGCCAGCTGTGAAGCATAGTCCAGACTTGCAGAAATAAATCTCTCATCAATTCCCAGTCCATTCCAGTCGATTTCTTTTCCGCCCTTATTTAATTTGTCCCACGATACATTTTCTTCGATGGAATACCATATACGCCTTTCGTCTTTGTCGGTTAACATGTTTACATCTAATTCACTCTTTGCAATTCGTGGTAGGACCTTTTCAACGATATCCTGATAGCCCTTTTTACCAGCAATTAAGATCGCTTTTAAGTTGACAATAGTTTCCGGTATCTTAAGTAGTAGGTCAACTACCCCACGATGGCCTGCTTGCACCGCGATTGAGAGTGGTGTATCACCATTCTTGTCCCAACGGTTCGGATGGTGTACCCCTCCAGAGCTGAGGAGCTTCTGGACGTAAGAGTCAAGACCTAAAGCCGCTGCCCACCAAAGAGCCGATCTGTACGTCTTGTCGTGCCAGTCTGCATCGATTCTCTGCGCATTCAGAATATTCTCAAAAATAGACTCGTTCTGAACTCTAACGGCACATACTAGCGGCGGGGAATCGGTTGTCTCCTCGTTGATCCAGTTTGGATAAACTTCGTCAAAGTTTAAAAGCAGTTTTACTACGTCCTCTTTTCCTTCCGCGATGGCCAAATGAAGCGCTGGTAATTTTGTACGAGGATCATTGGGCTTTGCCAGTCTGTTGCTGAGAAGTAAATTTACGATATCACAATGTCCTGGTATAATCGCCAGACTTAATGGCGTCATATCTTTCCGATCATCATCAAATATTGACCGGCTTTTCCAAGTTTGTATCATGTCTTTCAATATTATCGCATGTCCTCGTTTTGCTACTTCGCGGACAACCATACAACGATAATCATAGTTGTCGTCTTTGTCGTCGTTGTTATTCTTGTCGTTTTGCCCTTGTATACCTCGTATCTTTCCCACGAATATTCTCGCCATGTTGATATCTCCAACTTGGGAGGCATAGAAGAATATGTCTTTATATTGGTCTTCTCCTGCGCCAAGCTCCAGCAGAACATCGACAACCATATACCAGCCTAATTGGCAGGCATCAATAAATGCCGAAGTCTTTGACGGCTCATCAAGAGGTTCCCGTCCTAGGAAATAAAGGGTGGCGCTCAAATCAGATTCCTTGATGGCTTGAAAAAGGTTGTCTGCCTTTACTTTTGGTTCGATTTCTTCCCCTAACTCAGTTTGTAGCTGCTGTTCTATGTTGAGTAATTTTCGATCATCATCTCTTTTTAGATGATGTAAGGCAGCGGTGGCATAGCATTTAATCGTCTCAGCAAGGCTAAGTGTCGATTGACGATTGCTTGAATCTGTGTGACCCCCAAAATCAACCCAGACAAGCGGGATGCGCATGATCTTTTCGTCTCTTGAGTACCGTTGAAGCAATCTAATAATTCCCCAATAGCTCTCAGCGTCATATCTTCGCAGGATATCTTGACGATATAATTCACAGGCCCCTATGAAAGCTCGCCTGACCCGATTAATAGCCTCCAGTCCCCCAAACGAACGTTCCTGCTCGCTTGTTGATCCCAGACTTGAATACGCACGGTCAAGTCCGGAATCAATTAATTTTCCGATATCTTGACGATCCAGCCACCCAAGACCCCTGGGTGTATCAAATACCTCACCAGGAAGTTGAAGCTTATGCTGATTTCTCAAAATCGGGATGGTGCATGCGAAAGCATCTTCTGCTTCACACAAACCTCTTTTAACAAGAATCTCCTGGATCTTGTCGTCAGTCTCATTGTTGACCTTAGTACCACCTCGATGTTCCCTCGCTTCTATTTGCCCAATATCCTGGACAGCTGTCATAATTGCAGATAAAAATGATGAATAGATTTCCTGCGCGCAATTTAATAAAAGGGAGCTTTTGGAAGTGACTACTAAAGCATAAAACCTATCAAAACCGTCGTATAACGAAGTATCTTTCATATATCTCGTATTGCACCAGCCAAAAAATCGTCGCTGGTCGTCTGGTTCGCTAAAGGGGTCGTTTTGGCCAACACGAACAACAAATTCCTTGATACCTATCTCCCACAGTCCACTTCTCCACCACATTCCATTCTCGACTTCCGCGCGGTTGATGTTTCTCCCCGGCCTTAAGCTTTGATTGGCGTGGTGTTCGTTTCCTTCTGTTTTTGGTACATTTCCAGATCCTAGCTGTGCACTCGAGTCTTGTACCTCGAATCGGCATTTTTGTATCTTTAATTCCCTTCCACCTCTCAAGATATCCAAGGCCTTCGTTTCAGCCGATCCACCTATCCTATATTCATCAGTCGAGAGAAAGCGACTTATGCGCTTGTCGAACTTCTTAGAGCCCACATCATCTGCCTCTTGACTGTCTCGCGGCTCTTGCTCTTTTAATGACCAGAACCACAAGCCAAGGACAGCCTCTATTTCAGAAGCTTCAGCTTTCCACGGACCTTCAGGAAGTCCATCCTTGTTAATTGCTCTTCGCAATGACATTTGGATAGTTCCATCTTTTAATGAGCATGAGGATTGAATGGCCCAAAATATGCAAAAGGCTTGCCTTCATGATCCAGAAAGCTTGACAGATTGCTGAGAGTCCGAGGCAAAGAGAACTTGCATGGTTTCTTCAATAGCCTGCACCAAAGCTAGGGCCGTATCTCGAACCAAAATGCGTCTATTACCCCAGTGACTGCTATGTTCCGATTCTGGTTCCCCCAGCCCTGTCATACGAGCAAGCCGGCTTCTATAGAAGAATGTCTTCACGGTCGCATTCGGGCCAAGTTCACAGCCACTAGGTGTGCAATCATGTTGAGTTTTCCTGGTGCAGTATTCTTCTGAGATCCACCGAGAAATTGCCTTCTCAGCTAATTTCGTAAGACTTTCCGGAGGATTGGAGTTGTGTAATTGGATTCGAAATCCAGAAAGGATAGTCACACCGCCTGAAATCCCTTGAAGTCTTTCCAGTACACAAGATCTCTCTCTTTCATGGGCTTCGGGATTGGAAGACACATTTATGAAAGAGCCAATAGTAACATCTGCGCAACTTTTCCTTGGTATACTAACAACCTTCCATTTGCAGCTGTTAGATTCAGAGGGCGTATCAGACTGTCCAATCTTGAGTGCCAGCCAGTCCAATTCGTGCCCCTGGAACAAGGTTGGGTCTCCGGTCATGCAGTTATCCTGCTCTCTTAATCGCCGAGTTCTAAGCCCTGCACGGATGATGCTCATAATAATAGTCACACCCAGCTGGAGGACTGACACGGATGAGTGACATGCTCTGAGACCTAAAAACTGGCAGATAAATCCTATCGTGGATAATAAGACTGCGGTCCAAATATAGTCCATCATAGTATTTCCCTTTCTGTCTTTGTACGACGTGATATATTTCTGTAAGGGGAATTTGGTGTCCGAATACCCAAAGGGGTCAAACATCTGATCGCCTATTGTTTGATTTCCTGGCTGGACCCAATAGAACCTGGATTTGATGTTCGGGCTAACTTTCCTTTCGAACATATGCTCCTTAGTTTTGCTTTTGATCAAGTAAGCACATAGAGCCATTCCGAGGCAAAGTAGGATCGTCCCAATAGCCATCAACGGAACTGCATAATGGTCTAAGATTAGGGTTTAGCATTGAAATAAAACGAATACATAAGATTTACATTTTACCTTGATTAGAGGTTCGCGTCCATTGAAAGTAGTATTTTGTGAGAACTGCCCATACCAATACGAAAGACTGCATCATGATCCCTAGTATCGCTGCAAAAACAAACCAACCACGATCCAATGGCTTGATTCCAATATTGAGAGATAGATTTGGGTTTGGCGCGAAACGTGCTGGCTTTGCTCTGATATGTTTCTCCTCGTCTGATCCTGAAGATTTATTTCGTTTTTGTGTCTCCTTCCATCCCTTTCTTCCGCGCTCAGTTTCGATGTATTGCTGGAACGAATATATGCCAGCTGTTGGCTTGCTTCCATCTGTAGGGTAAAATGCATTGGCCGAATACTTCGGATCGTGTACGACTTCGAGTAGCTTAGGACGACCGAAAACACGAGCAATGCCTCCATTGGTGTAAAGTTCACAAACATCGCGGCTAGTAGATGAACACAATTCTGCTTCGGCTGTACCTGCTCCCTCTTGAGCTCGTCCGACGAAAGCTCTAAGAGATGGTGTCCCACATACTCGAATTGCAGATACGACAGCAGTGATGATTCCAAGGGGGGCCATAGAGAATATAATAATATCTAAAATGGTCAAGCATTCGCTGAGATACTGCTTAGTCGGATTTTCTCCAAAAAGGCTAATAAGGGGAGCAAGATCCGTAGCAAGATTATTGGAGAAGTCGTCCCACCAGTCATCGCCCATGGTTAATGATGATAATGATGTCGCCTGTTATCATAGAAGGAACTGTTATCATAGAAGTAAGTATAGAAAGGCCTTTAAGCACGATGTGTCTTGTAGTATAGGAAAGTGGAAATGTGAATGATAGCCTATCACTCCATACACGAGAGAAGAGGGATATGATTATCAGATCACAAGCGGGACAATGCGTCATGCAGCAGAGTATTATGTTAAAAGCGCAGTATGGAGGTAACAAAATTTTCAAGAACTTCTACTCGCCAGGGCTGTGTAAAGGCTCCCCCGGAAAAGACGTTTTCAGCCTAACGTATATTGCATTTTCGATTCTTCACAGCAATACCTTCAGGCGGCCACTGTAACGCCCTAGCCCCTCATTCACATCAGGCTTCCTACGGTTGCTATTAAGCGAGACGTAAACGATATAGTTGCACGACAGGATAACCTACTGCCCCCTAATACTCGGATCGTTATTAAATACTATTCACATTCCTCCTTTTCAGGATATAAACCATGGTTATCATGATGCTTCTTGTCGTACATGTAATTACTGTAGCTTAACTAATACATACCGTGCAATACTTTTTACTCATACGCTGCTCAGCCAAGATAGGCAGATGGCAAGGCGTTTAGCCCGGTCCTTCGCATAAGAGGCTAAAAAACACATGCCTTAGATATGGGAGGCATGCATTGGTGCGATGAGTAGTATTTCCATTTCCTGCTTATTCCCATACCCCTACATTCCTTCTTTAAAAGGTATTGCTCGGGAGGCTTGAGATGCAAAGCCAATGGCACCTAATATATTAGGTACGTACCTCAACGGAGGCGCAGTGACCTATGATCTTTGAAAAAAGATATACGAATCTTATGACGGGACCAGACGGCGGTCTTGGCAATGCGACTAACAGTACCGTTTATACGACTCGAGCTAACAGTCTGCCGACTATTGAGGCTCTGCATGGAGTAGATGTCTAGCTTAGGTAGGATTGACAACTATACCCCGGCTAGCTCTCTGCAGGCTACGAAGTCATACATATCCACATGCTATTGTATTTGCTGCTGCAGAGCATGGGTTGGATTCGGGAAAGTGTCCGTATGTGGGGACGGAAACGGAATATAGGACTATAAGTTTACGGCGGTAGATCTCCGTTACACGCCGATCTTCTCTAGAAGCAGCCAGCTGAACTCCTCGACCCAAATTAGTCTTCTCAAAGACGCCAAGAACACCGCACCCATGAAGCGTAAGCGGAGATCTTTTACGGCTGAAAGACGCTCGTAAATTCAACAAACTTCGGCGCTACAGCACAAACCACGCAATACAATTACATACTATAGTTATCATAACATGAACTTAACCTAGATCCAAAGCTACCTAGGTCAGGTACTTAAAGTAGCGTATCAGTTTTCGGCGTTAATCAGGAAGTGATATCGAGATCTATAGTTCAGGAATTAACGGTTATCGTGCCGATCCGTTCTTTAGCAAGTCCGCACCTCACCGGGAAAGTAAGCGCCAAGCAAACTACATGTGCTAGACTCATAGAAACGAATGTATATTGATAGAATGTAGGAACTAATAGAGAAAAATATATGTCGTGAGTTGGTCGATATCAATAGTGCAGTCATACATAAGAAATTTAAGATGTATAGCTTAGTCCGCTCTAAAGTTCCCTGAGCGGTTGCGTATATGAATCCATCGTGAGCAAAAGAAATACATGCCCAGGTATCTAGGAAATTCATGGGGAAAGAATGTTCAGAAGTAGAAGTAAAGCAGAAGGAAACGTGTAGTTCAAGGAAGGTTGGGTTGGGAGTAAAGCTTTGGTATAGGTGTGAATACACACACCTAGCTTTAGTCGCATTTATAAAAAAAGAAAATAAAAAAAAGGAAGAAAAAACATATGATAAAGCTAGCGGGTAGCCATAGATCCTATTAACTTAGTGATCAAAATGTAATATAGCGTCCATTCCGAAACCTATCAAGGAAGCAACACTGAGAAACATAACGTATCATCGAAGTTTTCGATGCCTGTCGTATAAATATCCATGGCAGGGCTTCACCCATCGGACATGAAAGACCAGTCCGTATGTCGTATTGCTCTAACCATTTTTCGAGAGGACCATATTTTCAATGGTCTTAAACGTATACTTCCTGTCGCGCGGGGCGGTTGGCATTGATTAGCCGAGCCCAAAGCGACCAAGGAGTTTCTGGTTCTAGAGTTGCACAGCTGTGAACCCTAGGAACTAATGGCTATAATGCCATTTAAACGGAGGTAGATAAGTTAGTATTGGGAAGTAGCCAAATCCTGACGGTTGAGTATCGGGATCGAGTAGTATTCGGATCCGGCGAGCCTCTATCTCTGGCGCTACTCCTGGTATATCGGTGCTTCACCCTGCAGAAACGATATCGGGTTGATGAAAGGGTCGAATTCATATTCGCCGCTGCTGCTTTTCGAGGTGACAAGTTCATTGGCTATGTCGGGAGAAAGGCTATTATCGTGCTGTAGATGTGTTCCCTATTAAGCTGTAAGAATCACAGTAAATGCGCAGGGTTAAGGTCTGATGTACTTTACGCGAGACGTGTCCGCAAAGCCACCACCCTTGTGGCAATTGTGAAGAGAATCAGGGGACACTCTAGCAAATGGGCAAGAAAATCGTCGGCTCGCACCTTTCGAACGGGTCGATTTCCTCCCTCGTCTAAGCATCACAGGCTTAGCCTTTGAATTTGGTAACCAGGTAGCCATATTCTACTATAGGCACCAATAACCTTGTATGATCACAGGTAATAAAGCGTCCGTAGTGAGATTCGATAGCGAATGAAGAAAAGAATTCAGTCAAGATGAGATATGTGTAAGACAAGAAATGTTCCCAATTCGAAGAAAATATTGTGGTGTGTAATTTAGAGAGAGGCAAGACAACTACATCTCCCTAAATGGCGATTACTACCACCTTGCGGCTCTTGTTTATGCGCTTGCGAAAATAATACATTGCGTTAAACAAATGTAGCTACTTGAAGGATCGATCTGTGTGCGTGTGTGCGTGTGTGCGTGTAGGCGTACCTGCAGACCAACCACTCACGGGGCTGATATAATGGTTCCGCCAGCACGATTAACAAAAAACAACCCGTACACAAGCTACATGTAGTCATCCTATTCGCGGGGTATAAGAACCATATCAGAGCGGGCTGGATAAGTCTGCATTGGCGGGATCATCGCATACTGATAACGCAGTTGAATACACGTTGTCAGGCCTGGTGCCTAGATAGGACATTTCCGGCACTCTTAAGAATGATTCCAGCCCCCATTCTTGAACTCTTACGTCATAGTAATCCGGTGCCATCAATCGCGGTCCTATCTTCCGAGTTAACCATCGGCCCAATAACGTACGAGGACGTAGTAAATAGAAAATAGAAAAGTGGCAGTAAGCCAAGCGAAATAGAAGCTGCATTATGAAGATAGGTTCAGGAAATCCTAACTCTAGCATCTTACATAGGAGGTTGTAGCTTTTCATGAATACCCACAGCCGGGTCAAACGAAGGTAGACGTATAATTAAATAGACCGTCGTGACATACGTGCTCATGTATAGGTAGGTACCAGTTATGATATCTGGAAGATGAAGTCTAGAACTGGAGGCGCCTCTGTCTTACATTGGAAGCATGGATAAGTCGTGAAAGGATACGCAAGACGCCCAGCCAGTCGGAAGTTCACAAGGCATCAAGGCTGTAAAGCTGTAAGGCTATAAGGCTATAAGGCCGCGAGACTAATACTCAAAGGTACCACAATGTTTGGGGAGTTTGGAGAAAGTTTGGGGTAGATTAGCATGCGAAGAAACGTTGCGGGCCGCCAAACCGCCAGCGCTATCATGACAGCCTCGAATTAAATTCGAAATTGGGCGGCTTCTAAGATCCCACGGCAACCCGGTAACCTCGGGCGTGGTGCCGACTAAAGCCAGTCCGCTCTTAAGCGAGAGACTAAAAACATGTATCATTGTAATTGGTCTCAACTCGGGGAAATAAGCACTAAGGCGAGAGACAGGCAGACGGTTACATACCTACATAGTGGCGGGAGGTTACCCGGCCGACCCTTACGCCTAGTTAGAGGCCTCCCCGCTAAATCGTGTCTCGGTACTGGCGACAAGTCTACCGACGTCGAAAGAGAGTTTTCTATATCCAATAAGGATACGTCTTGCCCATGTCCGGACAGTCCGGAAAGTCCGGAAAGTCCACAGAAAGTCTTAGGAGTAGTTGTTTAGGGGCACCGATTACGCCAAAAAATGAAATCTTAAGTACCTATGATGATTCCTCGACCCCTCCATAACCAATAAGCCGGGATGGATCTCGTGAGTTAGTTACGTCGTTAATGTAATCATACATAAGCACGATGGTATATAGAACTACCGGGACCAAAAAATAACATATATTATATGCATACCAACATCACCCATCCAGTCCTCGATTCATGTCTCGTCATGTCCCGTTATCAAAAAGGTAAAGGCGTTTGCGTAACTTGATAAAAACGAATGTGAAGAAGTAGAATAGATAAGAATAATAAGCCCCTACTCAAGGAGTGTAAGTTGAAGGCAGGGAAGCTTTAATAATATAGGTACGAATATCCAGCTTCATATGTAACTCCACTCAAATTTAGTCAGATTTTGGATGCCATTCATCCCGCTTCCTGTGAAAGGGGCAACTTTCGAAGGTATAACGTCTATCGTCAAAGCATTGAGACTAGCCGTGGCGATTCATGAAAGAGTAGCTCATGTGTCGAGGGGGAGTAGTCTTCTCTATGTCGTAAGTAGTTGAGTCCCCGATGTATAAGGCAGTCGAAGTTTTAAAGACAGGAGGATAAGTAAAATATTGCTCTAGTCGTTTGGTTCAAATGAGCTTTAATGAGGAACGGATATACCAAATTCATTTGTATCCCCCAGTTGATGATGGCGATTTGAAAGAATAGGACGTGCCTAATATTGGTCTGGCAGCAATAGGCCGAGATAAAAGGGAGTAAAGAGTCGTTATTCCCGATAACAAACTGGTCTCTCTCCTAGAATCAGACGAATATAAATCTTAGAGGTGATTGCTATAAGGTTTCGAAGCGGAGATAAACGGGGGTTCAAATAGTCGTTAGTTTGGTAGGTAAGTGCCTGGTAACTACATAGGCACCCAAGTCCAGCATCTACTCGGGCGGGGAGGATGGATGGACCTCTGGGTTTTCCTCCTGGACTACTGTTGCTCGCCAAAAAAAGTCATCGTCGGTTCCACCATTAGTATTTTCTGGTAGGTTAAAGTCATGTTCACTGAACCGAAACAAGACATTGGCGTCTTGCTGCTGTAATTGATGTAGCTCTTGAGCCCGTCTCTGTTGCTCTATCTCTTGTATCCGATGCTCTAGTGTTTCTATCATTTGCCGTTGAGCGACAATCTCTTGTCGTTGGGTGTCAACCGCTTGTTGTAATTGCACCCGTTGCTGCAGCTCTTGAAATCGGTGTGGGGGGTCTACATGTTGTTCAATATCTAACAACACCGATTAGTTTAAACAATTAAATATAGCAGTGATGGCAACTTACATGGAGATGGGTATGGACGGTCAGCCCTTGGGAAAACTATCTCGTAGATTCTGTCCCATTTGGCCCGAGCAGACGCGTTCCACGCGTCTGCTCGTCTCCGCAAAGCTTCTTCTTGCTCATGGTTAATTGCAAGTACGGGAAAGCCATCTTCAGCAAGCGCACAGGGTTCAATAGCCCTAGTGTGCTCTCTGAACTGGTCGTACTGGTCGAAAGGCTGACCACAGCGTTGGCATTGGGGGGTTCGGTGTCTCCTATATAAGTGTTCCCTATGAATAGGTATGTAAGAGTAAGATTGGGCACAAAGGGTCAAAACTTGACATACTTAACTCGAGATATGCTTTCAAACCCACCATGATTATGGCAATCGAGACGTAAACCAGGGAATGCCTTAGCAATTGGGCAGGCAAGCCTGGCATCAGTGCTTTGCGAATTCATAGGTTTCTTCCCGCGTCCACGTGAACCCCCGTCGTCGCCGTCGTCAGCATCATCGTCTTGTGCATTCTTTCTCTTCTGACGTCCTTGATTTGAAGGAGACCCGGCTGTCGACTGGGGATCGCTTGATTGGACATGCTGTATCCCACTACGACTTAGACCGGGTATGCCCCGAGCAAATGTAAGGTTTGCTAGACAGGCATTCAGCTGATGGGAGCTAAGATGTCCAAGGTATGCATTAGTCAAGGGAAAAACAGTGTTCTGCGTATGCCCGAGACTAGTGCACCGAGCATCTCTCCAGGCATCGTCTACCCTAGTAAGGGTCGGCTGGACATCACTACCTCTAGGTCCGAGAATATGTCCAGGGAACTGAATAAGTCTCTCTGGAAGTTGCTCTATCCCGAAGTATTGCTGGAGACGCGCATTGCGGAAACACTGAGATTCCAAGTCCGTATTATAATAGATCCGGGTCTGGGAAGATCCGGTGTGAGACTCGTGATATTTCAGTTTATTTGGTGTGCCGAGTACGATCTGAGAGTTGACATCAAGGTTTTGTAACTTTGCCATAGTCAACTATAGGTGGTGATAAGCTTGTTATAGACATGGGTAATCAAGCGGCCGTACCTATGGGGTTTCGACGGCAGGAAGACAAGGATTCAACACAAGAAGATGTAACATACGTAAGGTAGCTGGCGTTGCTACAAGAAAAAAGAAGAAGAAATGGAAATATCGTGGTATTGGAATTAGAAAGAGAAAATAATAAAAGACAGAACGCATATTCCCGAAATATGAATAAGATAGTTTTGCGCTGCTCTACTCAACACTGTTCCGAAATATGATAGTTACTGAAATGCGCCTGCGAAAAATTCCATAGCTGCGGTAAACGTTAGGTACCTATATGCATGTCGGTGTGATGTATCTGCAGTAAAATAAGTAATACTATGGTACCGTTGGACCAAATACAAATGGCTCCGGACGATTAACGGAAAATATTCCGTACAACTACGTCAGGAGTACAGAGCTTTTATCCATATGGGCTGTCCCATTAGCGAGAGAGCAGCATGTTCTGATGCCTACCTGCCCAGAGGTCATCATTAGGTAAGGTAGAAAGCTGAACATGTCGATGATCCGGCGCGCATTTTGGTAATCTAGGCGCGAGAATCTTCCTCGACACACTTCGACGTACTTCGGTTCGTACAGTCTTAATTTTAACTAGCTGAACGAGGACTTCGTACATATTGATACAAGACAACCAACGCAATGAGACTGTAATTGTTTATTAGTCGAAACTCCAAAGCCAACCAAAAGTATCCTTACAACTATAATGCAGGCCTAGGACCAAGGTCGTGTGTGTCTTACAGCGACAATATTAATAAGTCGTGAAAGAGTAGAAGACTACGACCAGGCCCAGCTACTAACTTCAATCAGCGCATCGCGTGGGGATTCTACGTACTTTATTTCAACGGCTAGAGCTAACTATTATGTAGAAAGGTTACTTCCGGTCCAGTTGGGGAATTGGGGAAGCCTACAATGTCGTCTCAAACATGTGGCACTCCTTTTGGGTGGGGATGGGGATGAGGATGGGGAAGTCTGGGGGTAGACTATGTACCTACATAGGTATGTAGGTACTTAGCCCGGACTAGCTCGGACTAGCTCGGACTAGATCGGACTAGCTCGAGCATGTGAAGAAGCACTAAATTCCCCATACAATACAATAGATACCTCGGTCGGGGGTAGCTGTGGGGTCTGACATCAGCGTAACGGTCTAGCGTACGGAACTCTACAAGCGCGAGCAGCCACGCATCCGAGGTCTAATCGTAATCATAAACTCCGGATTCATTCCCTCTGCATTCTCCTTCTCAACTGTATATTAATTTTGTAGAACATCTCAACCCGTTAAATAGTCTGGATATCTAATATCATATATACATCATTGTTAACACAACAAACACCATAGTTAGATCCTAAACAATAACTAACACAAAACTAACAATGGGTGGTAAGTACTTCGCCAAATCCTAAGCACCACCACACGCAGCTGACAGAACATAACAACCGCAGCCCTCGAAAGATTATCGCAGATCTCAGGCCAGATCTCAGGCTCCAAGTCGGCGCGCGAGAAGCTCCTCGAGAAGAACCCCGACGACGTAAGCTTCTCTCTTCCATTTTATACCTTCCCAATAACAATTCCCGATCCTCTCGTCCCCAAACGGTCCGCATTCCCAACAAGCTAACAACTCCGGGAAACAGATCGTAGTAACAGCATGTCTCCGAACGGCGTTCACGAAAGGCGGCAAGGGCGGTTTCAAAGACACACCGGCGTCTGACCTGATGGCGGGAGCTCTAAAGGGACTCTTGGAGCGATCCAAGATCGACCCATCGCTGGTAGAGGATGTGTGCGTGGGTGAGGTTCTTGCGCCTGGCGGTGGCGCCACCGAGATGCGCGCCGCAGCTCTTGTTGCCGGCCTCCCCGAGACCGCCGCCGTCCGAACTCTTAACCGTCAGTGTTCGTCGGGTCTGCAGGCATGCGTTGATGTCGCGAACCAGATCCGCGCCGGCATGATTGAGATCGGCATTGGCGCTGGTGTCGAGAGCATGAGCTTGCATTACGGGTAAGTTTCTTTTTCCTTTCTCCAACACCACTTCCTCGAGCACTATTGAATCATTGAATCCCCGTGGCTGACAACCCCTCCTCTAAAGCCCCCACGCCGTCTCCGAGTTCTCCGACCTCCTCGAGTCCCACCCCGAGGCCGCCAACTGCAAGGTTCCCATGGGCATCCTCTCCGAAGACATGGCCCGCGACCTCAAGGTCTCGCGCGCCAGCCAGGACGCCTTCGCCGCCGCCTCCTACCAGAAGGCCCTCAAGGCCCAGCAAGCAGGCCTCTTCGACGAGGAGATCCACCCGCTAACCGTCAAATACACCGACCCCAAGAGCGGCGAGACCAAGAACCTCACCGTCAACAAAGACGACGGCGTGCGCCCCGGCATCACCGCCGAGTCCCTCGGCAAGATCCGCCCCGCCTTCGCCGAGAACGGCTCCATCCACGCGGGCAACGCATCGCAGATCAGCGACGGCGCCGCAGCCGTCCTGCTGATGCGCCGATCGACAGCCGAGCGCATCGGCCAGACCATCCTCGGCAAGTTCGTCGCGGCCAGCATCGTCGGCGTCAAGCCGCTGCTCATGGGCCTCGGGCCCTGGAAAGCGATCCCCAAGGCCCTGTCGCTCGCCGGCGGCCTGACCATCGACGACATCGACATCTTCGAGATCAACGAGGCTTTCGCCAGCCAGTGCCTCTGGTGCGCTAACGAGCTGAAGATCCCCGCGGAGAAGATCAACCCTAAGGGTGGCGCTATTGCCTTTGGCCACCCCCTCGGCTGCACTGGTGCTCGCCAGGTGAGCACCCTGCTGTACGAGCTTCGACGCCGCGGCCAGAAGGTTGGTATTACGAGTATGTGCATTGGTACGGGTATGGGTATGGCTGCCGTGTGGGTTGCCGAGTAAGGGTGTTACATCTTTCAAATCAGTTTAAATTCATGTTTCATGCCGTGGCATACCACGGTGCACATTGTAGAAACACCATCTCGGGCCTTGGGAGGGCCTTTGCATGTATGAAAGTCGTATACGACGGGTACTTGAAGGAGGCAAAATAGCATTGTGTACAATGTATATCTAGGCGTTTAGTATATCATCTATATCGTATATGCAATTACAAGCTTCGTTGCCATCCACCTCCACGAAATAAATGTCAACAACATAATCCAGTCGCATGACGTATTTTCAAACCCAATATTACAGTTTCTCTCATCTGTGCCGAGATAAGCCTCGGCGGAACGTATATAGCCCCAGATCATCCAATGTAGGTGCCAACAGGCTATTCTCGCACTACGAGAACCCCTCGATGTGGCTGCCCAGCCCTCTTTCCTTCGCCAGTCGTATAACCTCAAATCCGACTACGAGATCCATGAGCCCCAGCCCTACGCTCTTATAAATAACATTGCCGGCTGAAAGCCAACGCGCCAAGTGGTGATCATGTCCCGCTTGCTGCTGCTTCTGCCGCTGTTCATCTACAGTCCCCTGACTTGAGCTTTGTCGATGGTGGAAAGGCAAAGAGCGGCTGCTGCTGCTCCTCCGGCTCGGGCTGCGCGACGAGGATCGCTTACCTCCGTTACCCGATGCCGAGTTACCCGATTCGGACCCGAAGACGGTTGACATGGCCGACCCGGGTGATGCGAGGTCCAGCTTTTCTAAAGACTCGTTGATGGAGGAAGCTTCGGTTGAGCTCTGAGATATAAGTGCTTCCTCTTCTTCCTTTGCCAGCCGGTGAATCATGGCCAGCTCGCCCAGTCTAGTTTTAATTGGTTAGTACTATGTTCATGAATCGTTAAACAATATACTACGAGACTTACTCGACGAGCTGCGTGGGCTCTAAACCTGCTTCAATGATCTCGCCCGCCTCTTTCAGTGCCCCGTCCAAAGTATCCACGATGATAACACCGCCTTCCGTTGCGTGTTTATGATAATGATGTCCGAGTGTATGTGTCTTGACGGCTTGGAGTAGCAGCTCTCGAGGCAGCTCACGCATCTGCTTTGTATAGCTCCCTATCGCTATAATCAGCCTGCCCTTCCTTCGACCTTCGTGACTTGTTAGTATGCTCGCGTCGAACAGATCTTCGGTGCTTGGCGTGCAACAGTAGATGACATCTGCCTCCCTCAAGTGTTCTTTCAGCAATCTGCCATAGTCTCCATAGGTCTGAGTTAGAAGGCTAAACTGCGCCTGTTCCCACCCTTCACGCTGCTTGATATCTTTAGATATGCCATATATCTTCTTGAATGTATCTTTAGCACTTTCGCTGAACGACCTATTGATAATGTATACCTGGCGAATGGTATCGCCCCGTAACATCAACGCTAGGCGCATATGCCAGTAAGCTTGCAATCCCGAGCCAAACACAACAAGGGTTCGGACCGAAGCGCGCTTTGCGAGGAGACAGGAGGAGGCAAGCGCGGTGCGGAAAGCGGTCAGGGTCTTCGCGTGTAGGAAACCTATAGGAGGGCCCTGGGGAGAGTAGATGGTCACCGAGCCGGTAGGTCGGATGGGAGGCAGTGCCGTATCTGCCGATTTATCCGCTGATGGTGACGACAAAGTAACAACTGCGATTTGGTTAGCCAAGATAGATTCAAGATCGCTAATGTCTTGGCTGCAAACTGACCTTTCACTGCATGGCCAAGCGTACTAATCGAAGGCATGAAAAGCGTAGTCGTGCCGGTGGTATTAGAATGTACTGATATACGCTCGGGTTGGTGAACGATGCCATCCTTTATGGACTGTGTACCGGTTGAGTACTCGTGAAGAGCATTTCTAAGCGTGTCGGTCAGTTCTTGAGCTTCGTCGTGGCTAAGACTCTCTAGCAAGCCGCAAATTTGATCGTTCGAAAGAACTGTTAAAGACATGGCTGTCGACATCGGAGTTAACGTGTAAGTAAACACGTTCCTGTAACATTTATAGTTGATCACTAGGTTAAGCGATTGATGTTTTCGATAGACTTGGCTCTGGGTTACACGAAGAGAATTCTAGGGAATCTTGAGGTTGGATTCTCGAGGTTGGATTCTTGAGTTCAAGTGGGAGAGAGGAGATAGCCGACTCTCGGCAACCGAGTTGAAGGCTTGGCTGAGCGCATATCCACACATAATTGATCTTTCATAGTACACACGTAAAAGATAAGGTTCTTTTAGAATGCCATGGATCTTGGCGTTGGCACATTCCTTTCATGATATATCCGAGAAAGGGTATGAGATAGTATGGTGTGATGTGTAGATGACCGTCATTGGTTCTGGCAGAATACTAAGTTGGAGGTGCCGTACCTGTATTATAGAAGTTACTGTACCTACGTACATACCTAGGCGTTATACTTATGGCTGTTATGTTATGTATTGTACAATACAATACCTACCTATGGCTTCTAATGAGGTAGCTGCTATGTATTGCACCTGCTAGACATGTACCTATCTTGCGCAGAGCTAGCCTGGAGCTACCCAGCTACCCCGCTATTGTAACACCAGAAACCTCCAGTGACGTAGCAAGTCTATAGAAAATCTAGAGGGGTCAGCTTGGCGACGGATAAGTACGTTATATATGTATACCTTAGGTATGTACGAAGTACCTAGATGACCTTATGTAAATTGGAGGTGCACAAGCGAGGAAAGAATTGATTTAAACTGAAGAAAACCCGCCGGAACGGTGAAGATAAATTAACCAGCCAACCAATAATCCAGCCAACCCAGACTCGGAATTAAAGCACATGGTAATCATACGATATAAAACGCAAGGCATATATAAATCCTCATTGACCAATAAACACCAATTCCCATCATAGAAACCGGCTCAATCGCACGCTATTTTGCAATCTCGCAATCTCGCAATTTCGCAATATTCCAATTTCGCAATATTCCAATATTCCAATAACGTACGGAAATCCCGTCGCCAGACTTTTTTCGAAACTTTGGACACATCTCCGTTTCTCCAACGCCGTCCGCCAAAATGACCCTTTCAGTCAGGTATCTTTAAGACCAACCTCGCTAATAACCCCCCATATTCACTTAGGTATCAATATCCGCTCTCCGTTAGATGACATTTCCCTCCTATGCTCTTCTGATACCAAGACAAGACACACACATACACACACACATTCCGGTGTATAAACGCCCCTAACTTGTACCTAACCGCCGGCTTTCCGTCCGTTCCGTTTAGAGAGCTTGCATGCTGCCCTCGCCGTCCGTCCTAAAAACCAGCATTGCATGCTTGCCCCTAACGATGTCCGAGTCTCCATTAACGCCTGATGGTCCGTAATGTCCCCCCTTTCCTGTGCCGATGCCTAGGTCGCGGATGCGGCCCGTCCCGATGTCGAAAAAGGTGCCGTGAACCTGCAGGCCCCTTTCGGCGATGGCATCCTGAATCGATGCATTGGCCATGAGCACGTTGACGCCGGCCTCGACGTTGAGCTCGGCGACGCGCACCGCACGCTTCTTGTCGTCGGCGATGCTGTCTAGCTCCTCCTTGTGCGCGTTGCGCACAGCCTTAAGAGGCGTTAACCAGATGTCCAGCACGCCGCCGACGCGGTTGTCGCTAAGCGAAGCTGCAGCCCCGCCACACGATGAGTGTCCGCAAAGCACGACGTGCTTCACCTTGAGATGCACAACTGCATACTCGATGACAGCTGCCGTGTTGATATCGGTTGGCGAAATAATGTTGGCGATGTTACGATGCACGAAGACATCGCCTGGCTGCAAGCCTAGAATCGTCGTCTCCGGGCAGCGCGAGTCAGAGCAACCTAACCAAACTGTTGCACCACGTTTAACCGCGTTAGCCTCCTAACTCTTTCAGTAGGTTTAAATTGCCTTGCCATGTCCGATGCGACATCTCCGCACTGCATAAACCATAAACCGCGGCGCAGCAGGCTCAGCAGGCTCAGCAGGCTCAGGATTCAGGATGGCCAAGACCGTACTAGTGTTCTGTTCTGTTGAGTGGGTCTTTGCTCATCTCTCATCTCGCATCTCGCATCTTGCATCTCAACAAAGGTGTACATATTATGCCAAGAAGAAAATTGTTTTAAAACTTACGGATTGCTGGAGACTGTCCCGATGCCAATTTGGGGAAGAAGTCGGGGTTCTGATGACCTTTGTAACCGGCCCAGGCTTGGTTAGAACTCAGCGCGTAGGCAAAAGCATCTTCTGCGGCCATGGTAAGCGAGTGTTCCCCCCAAAGTTACCTCGCCAATCTCGGGGATCTCAAAAATAAATTTAAGCGTATTTTTGGGTGTTATGAGATGCCGGCGTCCACCCCTGTGGATCCAGATCTGGGATTTACTAACCCCTTTTCTTGGCGGGGGAGATAAGCAGCGAGTAGAAGGAGAATAGCAATACGTACGCGGAGGAGCAGGCATTTCGAAGCTACGAAAGCTGGATGCGGCCTTTTATATATGTGAGGTTCGGGGATACGTAATGTAGGTATGATGACTACAGGGCGGCACCCAAGATCCCAGCCGGCAACCAACTGAAGGCGGGATGAGATGTAGGGATGCGGGATGCAGGATATGAGCGAATTAGGAAGTCCCAAGCCCAATCAGATATGGCGCTCGCCCACTTCGTCCACACCTTCAGAAGGATCCTATCCTATAGGTACCTGTAGGTATGCTTGATGACTTTGACCGAGGTTCTCGCTTTCGTCTGGTCTTGCTCAAATCGCGCTCGACCGGATCGGTATTCACTCGGAGGCGGCCGTGATCGTACGGAGGTGTAAATCACGCGACGGGCTGATATTACTGGCTAAGTATGTGGATAGCGGTGATGATGCAACTCGGCTTTAGACGGATAATCCCTCATGAAGTGGATTCGGTAGGAGATTTTGAATTTTATTTGGAAAGGAGTACGGAATAGATAAAGGTAGGGACAGGTAGGCGTACTATGTATAAAAAGAGCCGAGTGGAATCAAGAGAGAAGAAGAGTCCCAGGATGCTAACAAGGGCTTGTCAAACTGCTTAGCGTCAGCAAGCGATGATCCATGAGTCTTTAATAGTGTATCACGCTGGAACTATCGAGAGGAGATCAACAGGTAGCATCGCTAAGTCCGGAGTCCGGGGTAAAACTGCAATCTCAACTACGGAATACTTAATCTTAGATAGATATGTGGCCATCTTAACCATCCCAAGCATAAATAACACCCCCAATCTTCCCAATCTTCCTGGTGACCGGTCGCCCAGACCTTCCAAACCAAGGTTCCAAGGTTCCAAGGCTTCGCCCTTCACGGTGTTACCAAACCCCATGTAGATCTATAGTGTAGGTGTGTAGAAAGGCCCGTTGGATAGGTAAGCATAAGCATGAGCATGAAACGGGGGTCGCAAGCGTGAGGCGGCGCACGGGATTTTGGGATAGGTCGCGGGCATGGATCTAGATTACGGATATTGGAGCTAGGCTTGGTTTCCCGTGGATTCGCCAAGACGTATGTATTACATACCTAGGTACCTACCTAGGTCCTACATGCTTGCTTGCTTGCGCTGCGCTGCGCTACGCTGCTGTGCTGTGCGCTGGGTACCGCCGAGAAGGGGCCCAATCAGCCAGCCAGCCAGCCAATCTGCTTGCAACGTGCCGGGCGTGCTGCTTCGCCGGACCACCTCCCCTGCCTGCCTGGGGACAAGGGCCTCGCTACCTACGTATGTACTATTATGTAGGTGCGCGGCTTCGCGGCATGGGAGATAGGTAGGTACATACGTAGGGTATTAGGTAGGTATGTAGAAGAGAAGAAAGCGGTGAGGGACGGGGGGAGGGAGGGGGCGCTGTCAAACGGATAACATGGGATTTATGCCGTATCTACATCTTGCTTGCGTAGATGCTGGTTCGGCTGGTATGGGTTTGTTGGAAAGCTGTGACTACATACGGGCAGATAAATCAATCCTCTCTGCGTCTGCTTTGAGTACCTAACCTACCTAAAGACAATGCCCGGGTGACCACAGTTGCCCAGTTACATGTAATAGACCTTTTCCCCATTCACTACCTCCTAAGCTTCTCATTGTTGTGAATGAGAAAATTACTTCATGTACTAAGGTCACAACGGAGGGTGTCTTCCTGGCAAACCTGGTACCTTTAGTTTATATATATTGTTTTTTCCGCACGTGACGTTACCGTCTATATGGCTCCTCTTCGACAAGCTTCCCCTCCTTAAAAGCTAGGAGAGATTAATAGAGAAAAGACTATCTAGGTTAGGAGGGGGGATGCATATTGGTAGAAGTAAATATTTTCCGTGAGAGAGAGATAGAATGATTTATTAAAAGATATAAAGATAAAGTTGCTAGCTAACTACCTGTTAGTTATTTCGAAACTGTCTTTCCATCTTTATCTTTTCAAGCCCTCTTATCTCTGCTTTCGCTTCGCGACTATGATATCAGTGTAAGCCGCTTAGTTAAGCCCCTCCCTATCTCCGAGATCTACTTGGCGGTCAGCTTGTACTATGTATACCTATAGGCTAGGCTAGTTAGGTAGGTAGGTAGCTATTAATATCAAACTAATTCGGGTTCAATTAATATCAGCGCTGTTACTTTCTTTTCTTCCTACTTTCTCATAACTAGTTCGAATACTTGAGTCGCAATAGGTAAGACATTATTAATTCTATTCGATATCTATCTCAATATCTATCACGATAACCCTCCTCAACAAACGCTTATTAATAGCTTGGTGGCTGTGATGTCTCAATTAAAACGGTTAATTAATATACGCTGCCAAGGCCTTGGACCCTGGAACCAAAACGCCAATCAAGAGCCTCATAAGTTTAAATACATCTTATCAGTCATGTGCCGACATCACGTACGATGTATTTTATTACCTGGGTTTAACACATCTTGGTTTTTCTTGGCACCATATATGCCAATTCTATTTCTCATACTACTCGGTTTCGCCGCCAACAATATATAGGTATGTATCCCTCTTACTCGTATTTAAGCCACATAATGCACGGCCTTCAACGTCGATGGTCGGCAATAATAATCTAAACATCTTGACACTAGCCAGACACTAGGTTCCCCAAAGTGACGGGGGTCATGTTTCTACAGATAACGAACATTCTACCAAGGTTAAAGCCGAGCTAAACATGCCCCTATCCCGGGGAAGCTAATCACCGGCCCCCCTATTTTTGGGGGTTCTAACAACAAGGCCCGAGTTAACCATAACAACAACAAAGACGACGACGACGACGGTCCCGAGGATACCGGTAGAGAATTAGACTATACATACATAGCCGCCATTGACAGCATCGCAGATCCCATGTCACAATACTTGTTTGATCGTATCCAAATGGAACATTCTAACCTACATCCCAATGCGCCGGTACCTTGTCTTAGCATAGCATAGGTACCTAGGTAGTTACTCAATATCCCAAGATGCTGCATTACAGGCCATAGCATAGGATAGCACATAGTGTTTCAGTACATACAGTAAACCCGTACCATAACGAATCTACTATATAGCAAATACACTCTACATAATATAACGAACTTATACACCCTTGTTGTTGTTTTTTAAATTCGTTATAGTGCGGTTTTACTACAGTATATCCCCGGCGCACAATGTTACAGCCCAACGAGCTAGCTGGAAGATACGCATGAGCGGCAACGCTTGGCTATACTTCCAATCAACTGAACAGTGTCAATCAAACAGAAGTTTACCATCACAGCCAAGATAGAACCAAACGATAAACCAATACTAGGTACCTAGATATGTACTGATATACGAGATCAAACATGCCTGCGCCGCGTAAGCTCCAACATGGATGTAAGGCTACAGACCCGGCACTCAGGAACGTTTTCTGTATCAATACCTAGTCTGAGCCAAGAGCGTGGGTAAATACGACACTACCAAGAGATTTGCTTGGCAATCTTGGCTTGGCTCGGCTCGACTGTCCTCATGCGGCAATCTCCCAGAACACCAAGCGTACGAACTAATCCGGGTCCCAAGAAATTCACCTATTTGGAAGATATAACAGCCAAGTCTTGGCTCGAACGGTTAAGATATTGCGGGAAAATAGAAGACGTAGACTTTACGAAATTGCATCGATCATTCATTTGTCACATTGGTCGTCGGGAAACTCTGCAGATGGAGTCTAGATAGGCTTTATGCAAATCCATGTGGTTGGTATTCCCTTTTACCTCCTCCAACGCCGGAACTGTGCAAATATAGAAATCATGATCCCGTGACCAGCCCTAACGCTTAGACCTTGATGGCCGATTCCAGAGCCTTCTTCTTCTTCTCGATGCGCTTGTTGGCCTTGGCACCCATGATACCACCACCCCACTGTCGTCGAGCGTTCTCGGATCCGGCAAGGTAGCCGTCCTTGATAGCGCTCACGAGCTTAGAGAGCTCGTTCTTGTCCTCGGATCGAACCTCAGTAATGGCGAGGACGGCAGCGGTCTAAAATTTCATTAGTCAACCGTATTTAGTGCAATATTGGTGGTTGCATACCTTCTTGTGGACAACAGTTCCGAGGCGGGCCTTGCCCTTGATGATAGCGTAGGGAACGCCCATCTTTCGGCAGAGAGCAGGCAAGAAGATGACAAGCTCGATAGGGTCAACGTCGTTGGGGATCAGGACGAGAGAAGCCTTCTTGTTCTCGATCAGGCCGACAACGTGGTTCAGACCGAACTTGACAGCGTAGGGCTTCTTGCTGACATCTTCCTTCTTTTTGCCCTCCTTGATAGCGGTAGCCTCCTTGACCAATCGCTCCTTCTTCTCGGCCTTAGACTCGGGTCGGTACTTGTTGAGGAGCTTGAAAGCCTGGGCGGCAGTGTTGCGGTCCAGAACGTGCTGGAACTGGGAGATAGCTGGGGGAACCTTCAGGCGGAGGTTGATGATCTTCCTCTGGCGCTGGAGACGGACATACTCGGGCCACTTCACCATGCGGGAGAGGTTTCGCTTGGGCTGGATGTCCTGGCCAATGCCAAAGTTGCGCGATCGCTTCTCGATAAGGGGGTTCTAATTGACATGTCAGCATCACTTTCAGGCTCTTCAATAGAGCAAATGATTGAGGAGGATTCTACTCACCTTGGGCGTCTTCTTGGAACCAGCCTTAGAAGCGAAGGGGGCCGGGGCGGCCTTCTTACCGGACTTAGGAGGCTATCATTGAGAAGAAAGACATCAGCAAATGTGTTCCATTGACTGTAGTCTTTCTTGAACTCTAGAGAGATAATCGCGAATGGTATTTCACATTGCGCGAAGATCTCAAGCCAGTTCCTCACCTGCGTCCGAAGACAACAGGCGGAAATTAAGCAACTCAACAAGCGAGTGCCATTGAATTATTTGGCTGAGTGCAGAAGCACAGCAGTTTCGGACGTCAGGAGCTTACCATATTGATGATTTTGTCGTGTGGTCGGCGTTGGGTGAAAGGTTGCGACCGAAATGAGAGGTGTGAAGAGTAAAAGAAATCTCGTGTAAAGTTGCGAGCTTAGAAAAAACAGAAAAAGTTGTGCGTAGGGTTTCGCAGTGGGCCGGATGGTAAAATATCGGATAATTAGCCCCGAGTGACTAAGCCCAAAATAACCTAGTTTAGTTTGCCCCTCTGCGAAGTATCATACCTTAGGTATCTTTGTACCCTTGATATCTTCAACCCCACCAAAATTCTTCGAACCACTGGAACTTTGCATGTGCTGTAAGCAACCAGCAACCTTGAATGACATGAGTCAATCTCGGCGAATACATATTAAATACTATAATACTATTCCAATTTATTTCTCAATAATATCATCTATCTCCATAAAATTTACTCCATTATCTATACCATCGTTGAAAGCCCAAGTACTATAGAGAATGCCACCGGCGCTTTGTGCCCTCTGCAAGACAGAGCGAGCCTTGATTAAGAGGCCAAAAAATCACCAGAAGCTCTGCAAGGGCTGTTTCATCCGAATATTCGAAGATGAAGTGCATCACACCATAACTTCATCGCGGATTTTCTTTCCGGGGGAAAAAGTTGCCATCGGTGCATCAGGTGGCAAAGATTCAACCGTTTTAGCTTCGGTGCTCAAGACACTGAACGAGAGACATAACTATGGAGTTGATTTAATACTCCTAAGTATCGACGAGGGTATTAAGGGCTACAGAGACGATTCCCTCGAAACAGTTAAACGAAACGCAGTACAGTACGACATGCCGCTGAAAATAGTAGGCTATGATGAACTGTACGGCTGGACCATGGACCAGGTTGTGGAGGCAATTGGCAAGAAAGGCAATTGTACTTATTGTGGCGTTTTCCGACGACAGGCTCTAGATAGGGGCGCGAAGATGTTGGGGATTAAACATGTCGTCACTGGTCATAATGCCGATGATGTCGCAGAGACCGTTCTTATGAACCTCCTTCGAGGAGATCTACCGCGCTTATCAAGGAGTACGAGCATCGTCACCGGAAGCGACGCGAGCGAGGTTAAGAGGAGCAAGCCGCTAAAATACTCATACGAGAAGGAGATTGTGTTGTATGCGCACCACAAAAAGCTTGACTATTTCAGTACCGAATGCATCTACAGTCCGGAAGCCTTCAGGGGAAGTGCTAGGAGTTTGATCAAGAATCTAGAGAAGGTCCGTCCCAGCGCCATATTGGACGTTGTTCGAAGTGGGGAGGATATGGCGAGACTGGTGCCCGGTGCTACACCAAGTTCTTGTGCTTGTGATGGGAAGGCTACACCTAACCAAGCTTCTACTGACGAGGATAATATCGGTGGCTGCGGTTCGTCGAATGGTCGCACAAACGGTGGTGAGATGGCAGCTATGGAGAAACAACTCAGAGAAAACGAAGCGGCCAAAGCCGCTGGACTCGAAATAGAGGTCACGGCTGAAAAGCCCAAAGCACGATCTTATGACAGGCCAAACCCAACCAATGGCCAACTAAAGACAGCAGGCACCACTCTTCCCATCAGGTTAAAGCAAAAGCTTGGCACATGCGAGAAATGTGGTTATATGTCGAGCCAGAAGCTATGCCAAGCTTGTATGCTTCTCGAAACCCTGAATAAGAACCGTCCAGAGATTACAATATAGACATAAAGTGGGTAGGCGTTCCGGCATCCCTGGGTCTGTTAGAATAGGATTTAAATGATACCCTAAATAAAGCGATGACCAGCAACAGACACACGACAAGACGAGTTGAGTATCAGGTGCTGTATTTTGTAGACTTGGTACAAGTAGTTGCCCATCGTAGACAATATGTCTTCCTTCCCTACTTCTATATTCTTGCATCTACGTAAATCGCTTCTCGACCTACATAATATGTCAGTACCAGGTATCACCAACGTATTCATCAGCTGCAGAAACATACCCGCCATGGGTTATTCAGCTCGAATCCTGCGGGGGCTGCGGTTGCGTCGCTCTGTCCTCGTAGATTTCCTGTAAGACGCATATCGCGGTTCATCACTGCGGGAAATGAAGTTAGTTTCCTCCAAGCCCAAATGCATCACATTGAGGATTCGCCCGTACTCTGTCTATCCCACTGATCTATCGATCGCCTCGCCCTCTTGCCGCCGTTTTGCCAATTCCTAAACTTTGAAAGTCCTGCGCCGGTAGCGCTAAACATCTGATAAGGTCTTAGTATCCAAGCAGTCTGCTATCGAGGTAAGATATCATCGGCCGGGAGTTCTTACGGCAAGGATGATTCCATATGGAATCAGTGCTTCGAAGGGGACGGCCATTGCGGAACTACAGGCTGTGGTAAGACAAAAGGTTAGTATGGAAACATTGGGGATATATCGTGATTATAGTTGAGGGACTTACAATGATGTATGACCGCACGGTCGGTTGCAATTGTTTGTTGAGGGCGTCAGTTGACAGGCGACTTGAGGTAGCTTATTGTGTGATTGAGGTCCGAGGTTGAGATGGCCAAGTCCAACAGCCAATGATGTCGACTCAATGTTACAGCCTAAGGCAGAACAATTTGTCTTGGCATTAAGTCTTAGCGACATTAGCTAAGCAGTTCTAGGTCTTATTTAAATGGCTTTGGCAGGCTTCGGCGTTAAATGGCTCAATGGGTCTAAGCTCGGGGTACATGTACCTGGGGTACCGGTACTATCCGTATCGGGTTGGTCAATGCACCTTTTAACGTGCATAAATGTTGTTAAGGCTTTCCGAGCTGACTAAGTTGTGGAGCCATAGCCGGGCAGTTGCACCACCAACTTTAACTCACCTCATCCAAAGACGGCGCGAGGGGGATTCATTTCATCGCTTCCAAGTACACTAATCACCCTTCGTCACATCTTTTACTCTTTATTTTCGCAGAAGGACGCGTCGAATTCTCCCCTGAATCATGGGATTCTATGACTAACATACAATAATTGCCTTGGCAACGATATACAGCGCGTCTACAACATCACTTCCAAGTCGGCAGAATAACCTCCAGTCCGCATGTTTCAAATGCCTTCGGTATTACCAGCATTCGATTCTATACCTACCCTATCTTTATACCCCCAATACTTCCGAGCTTCGTAGTTATCTTCGTCCTTTTATGACAGGCATGCGACAAGGTCCTTGGTAACGCGAAGTGGCGCGACCCCGAGGCGTTGGAGCACTTGTCGCAAGATACACCTAATCCTACACTCTCGCGTAAATAAAAAGAAACCACGCTCTACTAAATAATACTCGTCGACCCTACCTGCCGAATCGGTAAGGCGATGGCCAATACGCAACTCATGCAAGAGGAACTACAACAAAGTGTAGTACTATCCGAAGAGGATGCCGAGTTTGAGGAGGATCTACCAGACACTATGATGGTAGATAACAGCGGCCCCCTACCCTCGGGCAACTCAGGGGATTCGGCCTATATAGTAGCCAATCATGTTGTACCAAGTTACAGTAATGATAGCACTGTGGGTGCCGACATGGTACCCGTAGACGAAACGGCTTCGCACTACGCAGAAGGAGGATTAGATGGTGTGCCAGCTAGTGGTGGTGAAGCTGGTGATCACGATGGTGAGACCTCGGTCAGCGATGGTGACATCCATGACGATGACGATGCCTCTGATGTTGACGCAGAAGGAGAGGACGATGACGATGAAGATGAAGACGAAAACGAGGGCGTTGGCGCCGTAAAGATCAAACCTGGTCATGAAGAGAGCGATAGTGATGATGATAGCAGCCTGGGGTCAGGCTCCACTCGGGAATCAACAGAATGGGAAGAAGTTGTCGAAAATGATGACGAAGAAGAAGAGGAAGACTCTGATGCTGTTGACCCTAATAACTGCATATTCTGTAAAAAGGCCGAGGAACACGATCCGGGACCAGAATTTGAGGCCCACCTTGCATGCAAGAAATGTGGTGAACATGGTACGTGCAATATCTTTATAGGTGTACCTTTTTAGGGGTGATCTAACATGCGATACTTAGCTCACCAGCAATGCGCCCGCGAAGAAGGAGCACTTGACGATAAAAACAGTACGTCCTGCACACGATACTTCATGTTTAGTTATGTAACTCACCTATTTGTACAGATGCATCGATTTGGAGATGCCCAGACTGCGCTGCTGGTGATTCAGGATCGGACTCGGAAGCGCCTTTCGATCGCGAGGAAGCAGAAGGCGATCATGATATGGAACTAGATGGTGCCGATGATAGTGATTTATCCCCTACTGCGACTAGTCTATCAACCGCCCCTAAACTTGCCCGAGATCTACTCCCTTCTCAACGCGGCATGAATAAGCCAGATTCGCTACTCGACGGAGACCCTATGGATGGCTCGCGAGTCCTACGAAAAAGGAAGACGTCGTCACCTGAGGCGGAGGTAGACATAGAGGAAGTAATGTCGCTACGTAAGCGGAGAAAAAATACCTCTGATGAATCTGCCCAAGACGAAGCTATACAGGACACAGCAAATTCGGCAGAAACGTCAAGCAGACCAAGGTCAGGGCGTGCCCTGCGACACAAGGCATCAAGCTCGGAGGCTCTGTGTACGATTGTTAAGAAGTCGCGCTCTAGCCTGCTGGTAAAGATGCGGGTGAGCGCTACGGAATTACATAAACTTTCACACAACTCAAGAGCCCGGAGGAAACGAGCTGGCCGAGCAACTACATCCCGATCATCTCGTTCATCCAGAAATGTCGCGTCAACACGAGCTGCGGCTGTTGCAGAACCACCCCCAATTACACCATTCTTTCCTTCCAGCTATTCTCAACCATTTTACTCCTTTTATGATAAAGAACCAGATGAGCTTAAGGGCAAGCCATACGGTGGAATTCTAAGCGAGGAACAAGCGGATACGACGAAGACGCTGCCTACTAAAGATGACAGGCGACGGTTCGATGAAGCGAAACAGAAGGCGGAAGAAGAATGGAGGAATAGATTGCTTACGATGCAAGCCGAAGCCGAGGTACCAGTAAAGAAGTCACGGAAGGCTTCTGGTCCCGCAAGCCAGATTGAATGCATCGAATTTGGCGGCTGGGAAATAGACACCTGGTATGCCGCACCGTACCCCGAAGAGTATAGTCGCAACCGAGTCCTATACATTTGCGAATTTTGCTTAAAATACATGAACTCGGATTATGTTGCCTGGCGACACAAGCTCAAATGCGCCGCAAAGCACCCTCCTGGCGATGAGATATATCGACATGGCTCAGTTTCCTTCTTCGAGGTTGATGGTCGAAAAAATCCAGTATACTGTCAAAATCTCTGCCTTCTAGCCAAGCTCTTCCTCGGCTCTAAGACGCTGTATTACGATGTTGAGCCGTTCCTATTCTACGTCCTTTGCGAGTACGACGATCTAGGTTATCATTTTGTCGGCTACTTTTCCAAAGAAAAGCGTGCGAGTAGTCAGAATAATGTGAGCTGCATCCTCACATTGCCTATCCATCAGCGAAAAGGTTACGGTCATCTGCTTATCGACTTCTCCTATCTTTTAACAAAAGTAGAGGAGAAGACCGGCTCTCCTGAGAAGCCTCTATCTGATATGGGCCTCGTATCGTATCGAAATTATTGGAGATTAGTCATGTGCAAGTACCTCATTGAACACATGCCTGAAAACAAGTTGCAGAGGAAGGGCCTGAGCATTAGACAGATATCAGACGATACAGGAATGACCCCTGATGATGTTATCTCAGCCCTCGAGGCACTCCGTTTCCTCGTTCGAGATCCTGTCACTCAAGTCTACGCGTTCCGGATTGATATATCCTATTGTCATAAAGAAGTTGCGAAATGGGAGGCAAAGAATTACGTTAAGCTGATTCCCAAAAATCTCACATGGATGCCTTATGTCATGGGCCGTAGCAACGCTACAAATTTCGAGTTAGGGCCAGCCCTTAACACGATCGCTCCCCGCGAAGAGGACGAAGAGGTCAAAGCTGTCCAGACCCTGGCAGAGAGCGGCATTGCGACCGGAGATTTCGCTATCCCGCAGCCTACCAGCCAGAAACCACCTCTAGGCGCCGAATCATCCGTCCTCGAATCGACGGAACCAAATGATAATGCCATTATCGAGCCCCCTGAGGATATAAAACCCAATGGTATTGGCAAGGAAAACGCAAATGCTTCTGCAAGCCGGTCTGAAGACCCAAGTACTTCGGTTGGTGCTACTGCTCCTGCGAATATTCCAGACGACGAGAACGATTGGCTTAAGCCATACGATACTATCCCAACCAACAGATTCCAAGTTTTCCCTCCGATAAATAACAGGCGTACGGCCATTTCACGCCTCAACTCGAGTATTGCTAGACCGCCTCTGCCGCGCATCCCACCTCCAAGCTCGCGACGAACTGTACGACCCAAAGCTCGTCGCTCAGCAGCTGGCGGCTCTGTTCGGAAGTCGGCTCAGAAGACAACTTCAGGTAAACGTAAGCCTGGCGGCACCGGCCGTGGACCCGGTCGGTGGCCAAAGGGTACCAAGAAGAGTGATTATGGCAACGCGGATAGCGGTCCTGGTTTACCACCGGCGTGGGTTGAGCGAAAGCGACTAGCAGATCTAGCCACTACAGATGAAAATGACACCCAAGACACCGTCCAGGTGCAAGTCACAGAGGCCAGCAAGAATCAGAAGGGCAAGCAAGTCGCATCCTTCTCTGCCAAATTTGATGCCACAGCTGATACTGCAACCAACAGCGGAGCCGCGTTGCCCGGCGATGCTGATGTCGATGTGGATATGAGCGGAGTTGGTAGCTACCAAGAGGACGTAGGTGCAGAAACAATAGAGACGTAGAGCGCCGTTTATAGTCTCGGGCAGGCATTGCAGTTGTTTGTATTGTATTCGATGCATAGTCGCGATAGGTTTGGGCGATTCGTAAAGAAGATATTCATTGATTCGCGGCACCGCGAGCTTAGGGAATGTACAAAGCCAAGGGAACGGCGTATGGCGAAGAAATTTAGTTGCAACGCTGGTAGATACCTAATGGAACGCTTGATTTTATCATTACTTGGTTTGGCTTCTTTCCATAGCTCTAGTTTTAAGGTCTGAAGAGATGTGTAAAGGCTCGAAGAAATTCAGGGGCAGATGCATTTATATGCATACCTACCTCCTAACACCTATCCTATAACAATTAATGTCAACTTTGCTCAAGACTGAAATCAGTTCAATGTTAGAAGCTTTATTTTTATTTTCTTACGCGACAAATAACTTGATTTTTCATCTCCTATGCGGGAAATTCATATCATATTCGTAGGTAGGTAGGTACTTACCCAACTATGCATATTACTACTTGTAACGTGATTTCGCTTCCGTAAAGTGGTGTTAAGGCTTCTGCCATGTATATTAGTGGTCCGACCTCAGCTAGGTACATTGTTTTTTATACTTCGGCAGACTTCTCTCCTCGCTTTCTGCTCATGTCCTCGGACGTAGGTGTCCAATATATAGATTGTGTAGGTGTGGGTATCTCACTATATACGACTATATATCGATGTTATCATTTATACCTCTAAATGTAGAGGACGTATTGCAATAATCAATTAAAGAGGGGCTTTGCTTCAAAGGTCTGATAAGTTCGGAACTGCAACAGTTTGGAAGTTTATGTAACCTCTCGCTTATGAAGCTTAACTAAGCGTTGACCAATTATAGAAAGCTGGATAACTATGTGATTCTTTGTATATCATACGTATGAATATCTCTCTCGAAGTGCCGACTAACTCCGCTATAGAGTAATTCCCTTCAAATTGCCAAAAAGAAACCTTCACGGTTTAAACCTAAAGCGGTATCCTCCGCAGGCTATAAGCTCAGCCTTAATTTCCTCGATAATTACTCTATAGCTAGCTGGTACTTGAAACGACGGCGTATATTGTAATAATCAATGGGAGACAGGTCCGCTTAGAACATCCGCTAATTATAGCTGAATCATTAAGATATTTACAGGCATGAAAATGCTACTCACTTTGAATATGTTCGAATTTCTATCAAGATACGAAGGGAATTATTATACGAGTATCATATATGGGATGTTTTATAATTAAATTTGGAGGCGAACTTGTTTAACAGTTTTAATTACGATGTAGTAAATCACTAAATAATATGTTTACTTACTGGACTTGTATATCAATACTAAAAAGCGAGGAATCCTCTATCTTAGATTCTTAATATCAGCTTTTGTTATTGCTAACTGCCTCTTGTATATTTTAGTTATGGACGGTTAGCAATTGTAGACTTGTATGGCTTTTATACGGCCTAATGCATTCAACTCATAGACGCATATCCCTAGATTGGCTAAAAGCATATTCAGGTACAGTCGGCAACAACTTATGATTAATGCCGTCCATGTTTCAGCCTTGCAGATAAGGATAAGGGGAAATAACCAATTATTACAGACACGGCTAAAGTTGAACTTTGTCCAATTCGTTCAGTTTCAATTCCAACCCACCACCTGGCATCTTCCGTTTCGATTAGACAGGTGTATAATGAACGGCCTCGCCGGTTCGAGGTAGTCAGCAGATCAGGCAGCTATGAAGCGCCCGAATATGTTGAACTTAGTAACGCCGGGCCGCGTAATCTCGACGCTATTCTTCTTGGCCTTGCATCAGCTTCTCATCGCACCCGCCGTCGCATACACGGCGTTATCGGACAACTTTCTTAAATTAGTCCCATCGGGAGGTGATGACTTCGATATTGAGAAAGGTAAGCTTCTGGCGCCAGTTTTAATCCCGCGAGTTCCGGGGACTCCGGGTCAGGCCGCTGTCCAAAAACATTTCGTGGACTTCTTCACGAACGAACTACCAAAATGGAATATCGAGTGGTATAACTCAACCTCAAAAACTCCCGTCTCAGGAAATAATGAGTTGCCATTCGCGAATCTGGTATTCAAGAGGGAGCCGCCATGGGTTAAGGAGGGACAGTCAAATCTGTTGACGCTCGCGGCTCATTACGATAGCTTGATTACCCCTAAAGGATTCATCGGTGCTACTGATAGCGCGGTGCCTTGTGCTATTCTCATGCACGTTGCGAGGTATATCGACAAGTTTATTACGCAGATGCACGACGAGATGTCTGCGCTTGGTGAAGGAGGGACCGTGGCGATGGATATGGGCGTACAGATTATTTTGTTCGATGGCGAGGAGGCATTTCAGAGGTGGTCAGAAACCGACTCACTCTATGGATCCCGGTAAGCCCTAACAGATACTCACTTTTGCAAGATAGAGCACGGACTGACGAAAACTCAGAGCTCTAGCTGAGCAATGGGAGAATTCCCCTCACCCAGCAATGTCATTTTACCGCAACCCGTTGGATCAGATTAGTATGCTTGTGCTCCTGGACCTTCTCGGCGCGCCTGACCCAACCGTGCCGTCGTTGTTTCTGCCAACGCACTGGGCTTATAAGGCTATGGCTACTATCGAGGATAGAATGCGTAAGCTAGATCTTCTCGAATCGAAGCCGAAGCGCCCCTTTCTACCCGAATCGGAGAAGAGGCCGACTTCTTTTCGATCTCTCTATATCGAGGACGACCACAAGCCCTTTATTGCTCGTGGAGTGCCAATTCTACATATGATTGCCTCTCCATTCCCCAATGCGTGGCACACAATGGAGGACGACGGTGCTCACCTAGATATGCCGACTGTACGTGACTGGTCTAAAATCGTCACGGCTTTTACGCTCGAGTGGTTGGATATGATGGAGGTTGAACCTAAAGAAGCTACCGAGGCTCCAGCGTCAGGCCGATAGCCCATGTCCTATTTAATATGGACTGGTTGCTGAATCTTTTTGTATTTTGTATGGGAGCGATTTTATTATTGGCGTTGAATGGGCATAGTGATTCTTAGCTGGAGGTTATGTTGCATACTTGACTGAGTAAAAAAACAACAATAAATCGAATGAATTATGAGCTCTAATGTATGATAGAGCTGTGCGTGATCTTGGATGTTTGCTAATACTACTTACTACCGAACTAGGCCCCTGACTTATTTCTCTCGACGGTGTAAGGAGGTGGGTGCCTTTGTCACAAGCAAGCGTTGTATTGTAATAATTATCTCCAGTACCAGTACTCCTGACTGCATACTACCAATAATACTACGTTCATGTATGCGTTCACCAGTAAGCAGGTCGTAATGAAATGTAGGTATGAAGATTTTGTGCATAGGGGTACATTCGATGAAGCTGAAAGGTTTCTGAAGGGATCAATTGAGATTGAGGACTCCACTAATCTACGTCATCCTTAACTCAACGAATGAGGTGACATGCTTCTATGCAAACTAAAGTAGCGAGGTAGTATGTAGTACGTGGAGTACATTATGTATGTACCTAGACCTAAGGTAATGCAAGTATGTAATGTACGTAATGTACTGGAAATGTACTTGGAGGTTCGTGCTCATGTGTAAAACGGAAGAAGCGCAGCTTGCCCAACTCTGACCAACAGGAAGACAGGACACGTCGATGGGGCTCACGGGGACGCTTTCCTGCCGCGTCACAAATGGCCACCCGAGAGTAAGAACCTTGGATGTACATATTTTATGTATCATGTACGTATCTTATCATGTATCAGTTATCCCGCCTGACTGACCCCATTCCAACCTTATTATTATGTTAGTCTCCTATTTTTGACCATTCTAACCACCTTAATCTACTCTAATTTGCGGTGGTTGCTGATTTGCCTTCGACAATTATCTGCTTTCCTTTTGGTCAATTGTTAATAATTGTAAAGACGAAAGGATAACCTCCTTATTGTTGAATGATTTATTTTCCACATTATTGCTTAGTTTTGTCCCATATCTAATCTTGCCCCGTTTCCTCTCTGTATTGATAATATTTTTATTTTTTATTTTTTATTTTCAAAGACCTTCGGCGGTTACGCTACTAAGTTCTAATACCTGCAACAAATAACCCCGGGTACGTATCGCCGCTGCGTCTCCTATTGCCAAGGCCCGCATTACGCCTGTCTCGTCTCTTTTGGGTGCGTACAGTAGGTACAACGTGTACTGGCACAGCTTTGGGCTCCCCTCCCAACTTCCTCAGTTCATCAATTAAAAGTTACTCTAATCAACCAATTCCACCAACCTCCTCCCCCCTCTCCGAAGAACTCGGCCCCCCTTTATCGCGATTAAACTGCTAGAGGATCTGTACTTGTCTATTACCTTGTTCCGAGTCGCGGGCAAAAGTTGCCGTCGGAGCTGTCGACGGCTCTTGCATTAGACGAGTCTGCGACGACGCTGGGTTTATAATAAACGGTAACTTGAGAAATAATCCGCCGGCTGGATTGCGCTTTCGTCGCGCCGACTACTGATCATTCTGCGATCGTATCAGCCCCAACATTTCAACCCATCACAAAAGGGCTCGTCTTCGCCTCCTTCTGTTATTGTTGTATTCGCATAGCCGGTTTCGTTCGTTTGGGGGAATATCGCCAAGATGTCTAAGGTTATGAGAAGTGTGAAAAATGTCACCAAGGGTTACTCGAGTGTCCAGGTCAAAGTGCGCGAAGGTCAGTAGAGTGCAACCATTTACTATCCATCCATACCGAACTATCTTGCGCTCAGTTGAAGTTGAGTATTGAATATTGAATCCTGATTTATTTTCCGCAGCGACGAGTAATGACCCATGGGGTCCGACCGGAACCCAGATGAGCGAGATCGCTCATCTCACATTCAATTCGTATGCTTGCCTACAATTACACTATCCTTGCATTATACCAGTGTCTCTAACTACTTCCCCAGGTCGACCGAGTTCTATGACATCGTTGACATGCTCGACAAGCGCCTAAACGACAAAGGCAAGAATTGGAGGCACGTTTTGAAGGCTCTGAAAGTCCTAGACTATTGTCTCCACGAAGGGTCCGAGCTCATCGTTACCTGGGCGCGGAAGAATATTTACATCATCAAAACCTTGCGCGAGTTTGTCTATATCGACGAAGAGGGTCGGGACGTAGGACAAAATGGTGAGTTATTCTGACATGCAATTGGAAGTCGTGCCATTAATTTTGGGTATACAGTCCGAGTTGCCGCGAAAGAGTTGACAGCCTTGATTCTGGATGAAGAGCGGCTGCGAGCCGAACGCAGCGATCGGAAGACGTGGAAGTCTCGTGTTACTGGAATCGAAGAATTCGCGCCTGAGGGTGCTACGGCCCCACGAGGAAACAACCGACCTCAGCGACGACATAGCGACGAGGAAGAGGATGCCGAGTACAAGTTAGCAATAGAAGCTAGCAAATACCAAGAGGAGGAGGATCGAAGGAAACGCGAAAGCCGCCAGGGGCCCGAAGATGATGACGACTTGGCCAAGGCTATTAAGCTCAGCCAGGAGGAAGATGAACGAAGAAGGCGAGAATTGGAAGAAAGTAATGCTAGTTCACTCTTCGACGATGCTGGACCGAGCAACGCGCCTCAACCGACTGGGATGAATATGGGATATCAGCAAGGCAGCAATGTTGATTGGCTTGGAAACCCGATCGATCAGAACCAGATGATGCAGCCGCAACCGACCGGATACGTGAACAATTCGTACACTGGATACCCGGCGAATGGCTACACGAATGGTTTTAACAATGGTTTCAACCCTCAGCCGACAGGTGTGTATGACCCTTACGGCCAGCAGCAGCAGCAGCAACAGCAACAGCAACAGCAACAACAGTTTCAACAGCAGTTGCAACAACAAAACACTCTCCAGCCTCCGGCGCAGCAATTCCAGATGCAGCCTACTGGATATAATCCTTACGGCCAGCAACCTCAGTTCCAGCAGTTCCAACCTCAGCCTACTGCTTCTCCAGAGCCAGTCGTCCAGCCTGGAAGCAACAACCCATGGGCTTCTAACAGCAACCAAGCAGCACTCAAGCCGATGCCGACCGGGTCGAATAATCCCTTCGCTAGCGGCTTTGGACGACAGCAGCAGCAATCCCAGGCCCCGGCAATTCCTACTCTAAACAGCTTGCAGAGTCTTCCTGAGCAGAAGTCGCTCCAGGGATTCGCTCCGTCTCCTCAACCTCAATTCCAGTCCCAGCCGCCCTTTCAAGCCAAGCAGCCCCAGAAGCCTCTTAGTGAACACGAACAGAAGCTTAATGCCCTTCTTGCTAGCGGCGATGGCATGGATACATTTGGAAATACTGGTGATCTTCGTATTCCTTCCCAGCATACAGCACCTGGTACCTTCGTAAATTCGGCTGGTGCAGGCGTAAACAGGCTCACGGCCGAGGCTACGGGAAATAATCCATTCCTTCGGCAACAGTTCACCGGCATGCCAACGGTATCTTATGGCGCACCGCAGATGCCTGCAGCTACTGGACCTGTTGGTATGAATGGGTACGGTGGGGCGAGCAACCCGTTCGCGGCACGGCCGCAACAGAATAACAACCAGGGGCAAGACCTCATCCAGTTCTAGAATTTGTCTTTGCGGGGACGTTCGCGATGCAGATCGCGCGCCCTTCACTCGCATGTGATGATGCATGCATTCTCCTAAGTTGGGTGATACCCATCCTAGTACACACTTCTCGTATTGCGTTCTCTTCGCCCTCCGGCCGACTAATGGTAGATAGGAGTTAGGTACCGGAGGGTTGCTATTTGCTCTCCAAGGAAAATCATAGGTGGGGGGTTAGGTCTACGATACAATCCCCTCTGCTGCTCCGTGTTGTGCTTTTGGGGAGAAGCTGGGACAGATTTCATTTGATAGCAGCAGTCCCATAGTGCCAAAACGATCAATAGAAGACATTGAATGGGCCTCGTTTTTAAACGGTGTAGCAAGATAATATTGTTATAATTAAACGTGATGTTTTTAAATTCTGACCCCCTTATTTATACCCTGACTGGATATATACCTAAGCATGCATACATATCCCATGTATACTCGCCATTCCCATCTGCTTTTACCTGAACATCTGCCCCCCCCAGCTACCATGCAGAGCACACAGGCAAAACTGATACTATGTAGTCAGACCCGATGCGCAACTTGGAACCAATCCATGATAGAGCAGTAATGCACTTCGTACGCAAGATGGGGTATTATACAATTCCAACCTAACCCAGTCCCAGCCCAGCTACTCCCTCCTTACTGCCCTTTCAACACCAGGTTCTTAGGGCATATTAAAACAGACCCCGGCACGGTAGATAGCCCAAGGTAGGTACCTAGGTAGGTATGTAATAGCGTAAAATGTAGAATCGGAGGGAAATGTAGCGCAATATTAGACAAACGCAACGCAACGTAATAAGGTAATGTGGGTATCGGGTATCTTGTAAGCTTGCTTTCATCTCCCTCTAGCTTCTTTCTACGTCGCGTCTTCTTCTTCTTCTTCTCCTTCCGTAGCACACGCCCCTTTGTTCGTTTGTCGAGCGGGTCCCCTCTCCTATCTTCTTCTTGTCTGTTGCATCCTGGCCGGCTGTCTCGGCTATCCTCTCGGCTTGCCGCTTGGGCGGGCATTCTTGGTCCGTCTCGCGGCTCCCGGACACGCGCTGGATGGGGCGGCGTGTTGGTGCTTAGAGGGAGGGATAGATAGATACTCGGAGCAAATTCTCTCCTGATGCTGCTTCTGCTAGATTCCCAGTTCTGGCTAGGTGTCTTGTCTCGGGGAGTAGCGAAAGCAGACGGGGATTCTTCAGTCGCGCTCTTCTCGCTTCTCGGCTACCTGCTTGCTTCTTTCTGGCTAGCTCCCGTCATCACCTATCGAGGAAGATACCCAGAAACTCCTCGCGGCTGACGCCGCCCTTGCCCTCGACGTCGAACTGCTCGATCATGCTGTGCAGTTCGTTGTCGGGAACGTCTTCGCCGAGCTCTTTCACAACGCTGCGCAGGTCGTCGACGGTGATAACGCCCTTGCTGCCGCGGTCGAATAGCGCAAATGTCTTGAGTAGCTCCTCGCGCGGGTCGCGTGCTGCTACGTACCGCGCCGCGACTGCTTGGAAGCCCTCGCGCGATAGCCGCAGGTCGACTACGCCTGGCGTAGTCTGTGGCGGCGGTTGGTTCGGGAGAGATGGTAGAGGCGTCCAGCCTGGACGTGGTCGCGCGGCCGACTTAAATGATGCGATGAGGTCGGGCCGCGAGAGGTTAGAGAAGCCGAGGGCTTGTAGCGCGTACCGGAATTCACTAAAGTCGAGCTGTTCGTCTTTGTTCATGTCGAAGAGGTGGAACTGCGCGTTTGTAACCGTTACTAGTTAGCTTGATGTGGTCTCTTCTATAGTGTTTGTCTTGCTTTCTGGTCAAGGCCTCGCATAGTTGTTATACATAGCGAGATATGGTTGCGTATGTGTTTAGAAAAGGGGGTACTCACGCAATCGTTGATCTCGTTCCGATGTTCGTCGCTTATCTGATCCCAAGGCTCGGCGTGTTCTGGATTCCGAATTGGGGCTGCGAATCGCGTGCCTGGTCTCGTCGACCCCGGCCGCACCGACGCATTGTAATCGTTCATGGCGTTGCTTGCGTAGTTGTTCATGCTCTCTTATACGTGATGCTCTGAGCGCGTGGCCCTAGGAGCTATCCTCTTTTACGCGCGAAGGTTTCGAGTCGTGGTTTAAGAGCGGAAGCCGTTGTCGCTAGGTAAATCGGTCGCGTTGTAGGGCTGGTAGTTAAGCTTAAAGTAGAGATGGCACTTTAACGAATTGGTGTATCTTGCGTGATCCTAGTTGTGATCCTAGTTCGAGAGAAAGAGAGAGAGAGAGAAAGGTAGCGAGTGACGTGGAAGCGGTAAGCATGCAGGCTATTGATTATACAATTGCATGCGATTAGAACCTGCAACGGCAAGAAACACGATATCTATCCAAGAGAGCAAATAGACTCTCGGTATGCTGACCAACACGGAATCGGAATTTCGGGCTGCAGCGATTATAGCAGAACGGGTTGAATCTAGCGGTCGCGAAACTGCAATTCGAAGTTGTAGGTGGCCCCGTTGACGCGAGCCGGGATGCGCACGTACAGTTGGAAAAATGGAGAAGAAGAAAAAAGAAGAAGAAAAGCTGCGCGACAATACAAAATTTTCGAATGCAAATGTAAGTAGTGCAGAGCCAATGGGTTATACTGAGTGTAGTAATTTGGTCGGAAAATTATAACTTTACTTCCTGTACCATTTTTTTTGTGGTTGCATACTGCAGCTTAACTCGCGATGTTTTTTTTTCTTCTTCTTTCTTCTTCCGGTGTAAGTCGGGGGGTTGGGCGCGATGCACGAAATGGTACACGTAAACGCGCTTGATAGGTACCTGCAGGCTTAACGACACTATTTTACCTGGTCGCACTTACGGAGCTAGCCTCGTCCCACCCGAGAAAGAGTCGGGGCTAGCGGACAGGCGGATACTATGTACAGTACATAACTAATGAGGTCACGACGCGTTGCTCTCAGCATTATAAGTTAAAGTATGTGGCTTATGGAAGCTTCACTACGATTTATTAAATACATCATAAATGCTTTTTAGAAAGGAAATAATTACCTCTCAAATTCATACTGAACTGGTTGTCTTATGTTAAAATATACATATCACTAAGCATTTTATATAATCTGCCCAAGTGAGAGGTGAGAGGTGAGGAGTAAGTTTGTTGATATTTCATTATATCCATGTTCAACTCAACTTGAATGGTCATGATAATTTCTGAATTGTGATTCCTGGTTGGCTCATGTAGAATAAGAGAAAAATAGTTGCGACTTATTGATACAGTAACTATGCGAGAACTTTATAATATAAAAATGAAAATGAACTATACCTAGAAGTAAAGCCACAATATAAATAAAGCTCACCCTACTGGGTTCCATATGTAGTTAGGCTACATATAGGCTGCGGCCTAAGCTCCCTCTCATCAGCCTCACCAACTATTACATAATCGCTGCATGCCATTAAATATGTTCTCGGGAATTCATCTACTCGACATTTGCATGCCTAACATTATATTGTATGAAATGCAGAGATCGTGAAATAATTTCTATATTGTATGTATGGCTTTAGGTAACTCGAGTAGGCAGACAAGGGCAGGCAGGAATATGTAAATTTTACATGCGCGTGACCGGTGACTGGTTTCTACCTACTTTGTACACCTAATGTTGAGAATAAAAACACTCACTCTTCATCGAATAAACACCTCAATTTGCTAAAATTCTAAGTGCGCTTGGTGCTTTATATAATCTACATCAAAAAAAGCTTCAAAAGAAGTATCAATGTTATATATATATAAGTGAGAAGGTACGACGGTAATATGTACCTTAGCTAGGCATGTACTTGCAAACGGCCTCTGGCAGGTACAGGTGCGCAGCAAACTTGTGGGCCCACTATTTACCTAGTCTAAACTCTGTAGTGGTGAGCCAGAGGTGGTCCGGCCTCCTCCTTATCCTGGGCATTGAACCCAACCGTGTCAATTCTCTCTACCTTACTACTTTCCCCCAAGGCTAAACCGTCACATCTACGCATCTACTACAAATCACAGATTTGTTTCTTTCCTTAGTCGGGTACCGTACCTGGCGCATGTAGCCATTAACTTCTTATTCTACAACAGTCTTTGCCATATTTTCTCTTACATCTATATTCCTCGCTTTTCCACGGGGAATTGAGACATCTTCATACATCAGATTCTCTCGACGCCCCAGCAGCGCGGATCGCAGAAAAAAAAATTGAGCCCCAGTTCGCGATACTTTTTACCCTGCGCATCATCGCCTAATTACTCCCACGACACTCTTCTACATCGGAATCAACCGACCGTTATCTCGGCTATTGACCGTTTACCTTCCATGTCTTCTTCTATTTAGCGTTGTCTCTCCTCCCAAATTCGATTCCACGCGTCAGACGCGCTCTTTCACCATCTCGCAGGCCGCGTGCCTCGAGCTAACTTAATCCCATTCTAATATATCGAACTATCACCATGTCGGCTTTCGGTGGATTCGGCACCGGTGCTGGCGGTAGCGGCTTCGGCAGCAACTCCAACAATACCTCTACTGGATTCGGTGGATTCGGTAACAATAACGCGACCAATACACCAGGTAGGCTTCTTCCTTGATACTCCTCGATCCCTTTTTATTCTTTCCCCAGCACCCAACTAACTCGGCGTGGTTCCTCAAGGCTTTGGCGCAAATACTACCACCAGCGGCTTTGGTGCTCCCGGCAATACAGGAGGTGGCCTATTCAGTTCTGGGAGCACACCGTCCAGCTTCGGTACCAACACCGGTAAGTGGCATATGGCCACCAATATTTTATTTGGCTTTTGTCGATCTAAACTTTTCATGCACTTTGCTTTGAGTGCTATTTTTAATCAGGATACTAATACGTTTCTCTGCAGGTGCATTCGGATCGACGAGCAATACCGGCGGCGCGTTTGTTTCCAAGCCTGCTTTCGGCAGCACACCTACGAGCGGCGGCTTGTTTGGTGCCTCTACCACATCGACATCGGGTGGTTTCGGTGGCGGCTTCGGAGCTACAAACAACGCTTCAACATCAAGCCCTTTTGGTGGCGGTAGTGGTGGCGGTACTGGTTCGTCCATCTTTGGAAACAATAATAAACCGGCCTTTGGAACTTCGAACACTGGAACGACAGGCACTGGGCTCTTTGGAGGTGGGACCACGACTAATAATACCGGCACCTCGACTGGCTTTGGCGCATTTGGTAGCACATCGAACGCTCCCACCAGTACAGCACTGGGTCCGGTGGGCGACCCTCCTGGTACTGGTAATATTACGAACTTCCAGCCCTTGGTAGAAAAGGAGAGCCCTGCCAGCTCTGCGCAGAACTCTTTCCAGAATATCCTATTCCAGGACCCGTACAAAAAATGGTCCGCGGAAGAGCTAAGACTTGCTGATTACGCAGCCGGACGTCGTTATGGCGGCACCTCAGGTACTGGGACCTTCGGTGTCGGTTCCGGCTTTGGTGCATTCGGCACGAATAACCAGCCAACAAATTCATTTGGCACCTCGAACCCGACTGCGAATACCGGTGGCGGTTTATTCAGTAATGCCCCGTCATCTGGTGGGTTTGGAGCACAGAATAACTCCACCGCGGGTGGTTTTGGCACCAACACCAGTGCTGGCGGTGGTCTATTTAGCGCCAACAAGCCAGCACCGACAGGCGGCTTATTTGGCAGCTCTGCGACGCCTCAACCGGCGCAATCCGGTGGTGTATTTGGCACTGGAAACACTGGGTTCAACACTGGTAATACTGGCACTGGTTTCGGATCTACGAATGCCAACACCGGAAGCTCGTTGTTCTCGAACGCCAATAATCAGCAGAAGTCCGGTTTCAGTTTCAGCAATACAGGTAACAATACTACAGGTGGCTTCGGCGGCAATACTGGTGGTTTTGGTACCAACAATAATACGGCTGGAGGTGGTGGTCTCTTCGGTAACACCAACAATACCAACCAGACTGCTGGAACTGGCCTCTTCAGCAATGCGAACCAGCAGAATACTGGTGGTGTGTTCGGTGGCGGCGGCGGCGGCGGCGGAGGCGGCGGTGGTTTTGGGACCCAGAATCAACAACAACCCGGATCGTCCCTATTTGGCAATACACAACAGAAGCCGGCAGGGACAGGCCTATTTGGGAGCACCACAGCCGCTCCTGGAGCCGGTGGCGGTCTATTTGGCGCATCGAGTAATACCGGCGGTGGCTTTGGAGCAACCAATAATCAGTCTGGTGGGCTTTTTAACAAACCTGCCACTGGCACTGGTACCTCTGGGCTATTTGGGAACACTGGTGCGGCTCAGAACACCAATACTGGAGGTGGCTTGTTTGGAGGTTTAGGTCAGAATAATCAGAATCAGCAGCAACCACAACAAAATTCCGGCCTCTTCGGCTCGAGTCTTGGCCAATCCCAGCAGAAGCCAGGTCTGTTCGGAAGTACCACACAGACGGTCGGCGGTGGCCTTTTTGGAAGCCAATCCAACCAGCAACAGGGCTCATCCATATTCGGGACGTCGACTACACAGCAGCAGCCGCAGAATAATGGGATGGGAGGCTCTTTGTTTGGCAGTTTGCAGGGCAACCAGGCTATACCGTCTTTGACTGCAAGCATTAATGATCCAACAGCGTACGGGTCTCTATTTGCTAACCTAGGCAACAACGAGGTGTCTGATCCCGGCCCACTTGCAACGCCGTCGAAAAACAAGCAAGCTAGGCGGCCCTCTATTCTCCCCTATTATAAGCTGAACCCAGCCTCTGCGTCTCGATTTGTTACGCCGCAGAAGCGTGGGTATGGCTTCTCTTACAGCACCTACGGGACTCCAAACAGCTCCTCAAGCGTATCTAGCACCCCAGGTGCACTGGCGCAAAGTCTGTTAGGCGGTGGTAGTTTGTCACGTAGTCTAGGCAGCTCCCTTGCTAAGAGTGTCTCGTCGAGCAGTCTTCGACGGAACTTCAATATCGAGGATAGCCTGTTGGCCCCTGGTGCATTCTCTGCTAGCTCTGGATCAAGGCTGTATGGCGGTGGCAGCGTCAAAAAACTTGTTATCAATAAGGATTTACGCAGTGATTTGTTTTCAACTCCTACAAAAGACAAGAGTTTGCCCGAGACTCCCAACAGTTCTCGAAAGCTAACCAAACGAGTCAGCTTTGATACTAGCAATGTTGATGCCATTGAAGATGGAGAAGCTGCACATGGATCAAACAACTCCACTCCGAGCGCAGAACAGTTAGGCTATGTTCGACCGAAAAACGTCAATGGAGTTAACGGCTCCAAGTCAAATTCTGTCCCCGAAATGGAGCAGGTGAAGGGTAACGAGCTAGCGGTGGTACATGAAGAGGAAGCCGTCTCGCCCGAAGGCCGTAACTCAGCGACAGCCGCCTCTGGTGGAGAACCTGGTAATTATTGGATGAAACCAACTAAGGAAGAAATCCAACTCATGAATAGGGTCCAACGCCAAAAGGTCCCCAACTTCACTGTTGGACGCCAGAACGTTGGCTATGTTAAGTTCAGGGTGCCTGTTGACCTGACTTCAGTCGATATCGACAATATATTCGACAACATCGTCATCCTCGAAACGCGGTCCGCAACCGTGTATCCCAATGCTGCTAAAAAGCCGCCTGTTGGCAAAGGTTTGAACGTTCCCGCGTTGATTAACCTTGAGCATTCGTGGCCTCGTGCTTCTCGGAAAGGAAAGCCTATTCCACTGACGAGACATATCGAACGCTTAAAAAGAATTCCGGACACTAAACTTGAGAACTACAATACGGAAACAGGCGAATGGACCTTTTCAGTGGAACACTTCACTACGTACGGGCTAGACGAGTCTGATGAGGACGAGGAGAGTGAAGTCAAGTCGTCCGCTGGCCCATTGACTTACCCATTAAAAAGGGCCCAATCGCCATCGCCAGTTCCTGGTTCTGATGATGCTGCGTCCGATGTGAGTGACATTTTGAAGGGTAAACGAAGCCATCCTGCACCACCAGGTGCTTTTGATCCTGATCATGATTCTTACGTCGAAGACGAGGCGGAAATGGCGGCAGTTGCTGGACCCCAGCCGTCTTTTTTAGGTAATCGCTCCGTGGGTTCTACGTCCAATGCTCTTGTCCCTGTGGATCAAGACGATATGGACGATGAATATGCGACGTCCGAGGCACACGAAGATGCGAGTGCTTCCCTCGGACAGCATCTTGCCGCGGAGCGTGACGACAACTCGTTCGACGGGTCGCAGTTCGACACTGTGCCAGAGACCCCTGCCGGTATCATGAGAGCCCGGATGCGAGCAATAAAAGGCTCGGCGACACCGATGAAAGTTCAGGTCTCATCCGGAGATGACTGGATGGACATGCTCAGCAAGACGATTAGCCCAAAAAAGCGGGATAGGGCGCTCTTAAAAACAATCAACGAAACCGATCACTATCGTGCGCTAGATGAGGCCCCTCGCGAGGCATCTCCTACAAAGAAACGCATCGTACCGGATAGCCGGGGTTTTGCAACGAGTATTGATTTGATGAACTCATTGTTTGAAAAGGCCAAGACTCCGGCTGAGAATCTACAAGCATCTGTGCGCCCAAACGGTGTCAAGGTCAGTACTACGTTTTGTCGCTATCCCTTTTATCGCGCTCGAATATAACGAACAGATATCATTATACGAGTTACTATATTCTAGTTTTAAATTGTATTTGCTAACTTTGAATTATAGTGGCCATACAAACGACTCACTAAGCACCTCGATGAAAGTAAGATGGACGAAAAAGACCGGATTTGGCACGACACCATACGACCAACCTGGGGCCCAAATGGCACGCTCGTATTTTCTGCGACTCCTAGTAGCTCGGCATTTGGGAGATCAAGTCGTTTATCTGAAAAAAATGGACTCATGATGGTGTTAAAAGGTGGTATAGTATCGGAATCACAGGATATCCGAATTGCCAAATTCACGAATGAGGTATGTTGAAAAACCTCAGTATTCTAAATGATCGCTAATGTAACATATTCAGATGTCAGCTAGAGCCATTGATGCGCACACCAAATTAGCACAAGTTCAACTTATCGACGGCGTACCAACTGTTAGATTGAACCCAAAGACAGTACTGAAGGACTTCTCTGTTGGAGGCAACGCCAAGAATTCAGCCGAGGAGCACGAGAAACTCGTATGGGAGCTTGCTAGCGTACTTTTCGACAGTATTAAGGTTCCCGCAGACCTTCAAACTGACCCCGATGCGCCGGAGAAGCTTCGCCGGGAGAATCTATCACGGTTTTGGGAGCGTATGGTAGAAGACCAGACGAATAAGACGGCCGCGATGGCCGGATCAAGCGAAGAAAAGGCCCTGGCTTCTTTGTCTGGTCACCGAATCGCCGAGGCTTGCAAGCATCTCCTTGATGGCAAAAACTTTCGCCTAGCTACATTGATTTCTCTCATTGGTGCTAACGATGTTGTTCAGAAAGATATAAAAGAACAGATGAAGGAGTGGCAAGATGCAAATGTTCTATCCGAATTCTCGCAACCGATTCGCGCGCTTTACGAAATGCTCAGTGGCAATGTTTGTGCCTGTGAAGGAACCAAAGGGGCATTGGAGAATCGTACAGAGTCGTTCCTAATCTCGAAGAGATTTGGTCTCAATTGGCAGCAAGCCTTTGGACTAAGGCTTTGGTACGCGACCTCAACGGAAGATAGCATTGCGGATGCTGTGGAAAAGTATAAGGAGGACGTGGAACAAGACAGGGAACTGCCGCCTACTACATGGTTCATAGAACATGGCATAAAGGGCATCTGGAATGATCCAGATGAGGATCTACGAGAGGATCTGCTTTGGGGATTGTTGCGATTATACTCGGACACCCAAGTGGATTTGGAAGCGGTACTACGACCGGAAAATTCTCAATTATCCCCTCTTGACTTCCGACTATGCTGGCAGTTAGGACAAGCGTTGACATCTACCGGACGTGTCTCGTTCGGGAAGAATGCCATTGAGAAGTCCGATGCTGTGACTATCTCTTTTGCATCACAATTGACGAACGAGGGTAGCTGGCTTGAAGCAACCTTCGTTCTACTACATCTTACCGATCCTGAGGCTCGATGCAAAGCGATTCAGGACCACTTATGTAGACACGCCGGATTAATCGGGAACGAAGACTCGAACAATTTCATAAAACTCACAACAGACTTCAAGGTTCCAAGGCAGTGGATTTGGCACTCGAAGGCACTATTTGCGCGGAGCGTCAAGAAAGACGCAAGCGCCGAAGTTCAGTGCCTTCTTCGTGCAGAGTCGTGGGCTGAAGCTCATCGCACTTTTATTAAAGAGGTTGCTCCGGCCACTATTATCGAGCGTGACTATGACACCCTAGCCGACCTACTGCAACAATTCGAAGGTTACCATTCGCAGGTCCCCGACTGGAACGTCGGCGGCGAAATCTACAAGGCGTTCCTTCAACTGATGGGTTGTCAACGACGAGCAGAGAATCCGTCCCCTGTTTTGGTCAATGCTCTACTCGAAGGGTTGCCGGCCATGCATGGAAATACCCCCGAAGCTGGTATTACAGAATATGCGGCTTTGACAGACATGGCGGCTGAGGTGGCAAAGGTGGTTACAGGTATGGCGAAGGCAGGAGAGGTAAGTTATTTTTCTAAACCCAAACTTATCAGATACAGCATTAACGTTGCGAATTAGATGGAACACGAGCGCATATTGCACCTACCTCTGACGGAGGACGTTTTGCTGAAGCATTCCAGGGACCTCGCCTGGTCGCATTACTCAACCGTGATGGCAGGCTAATAAGAACCTTCAAGCCGCAATATTATAAGAAGGAATGAAACAGATAACATAAGCACCCATTTCTGTATGAAGCATGACAGTACCCTATAGTAGATAGATAGTTCTTCGATGGGGCTAGCGATGTGCATGGCTTAGCCTAAGCATAGGTTAGGGGAGGGCCGATTAAACCAGCCCGTAATCGAGAATCATGATGTTCGGAATTTCTGGTGTCATAGGGACGACAGCAGAAGATCATTGTATTCGTGTAGCATAATAAAGTAGATAGCATAAAATTTGCTAATCCCCAAGTATGACTCTTATTGTGTGATGTATGTTGGTAGATCTGAGGTCAGTAGGTATCATTCTACTCTATTCAGTGTACTCTATTTGATGGTCGGCTTCAAATGTGGAATATCAGCTTGGTGACATTTACAATCTCAGTAGTTCTATTAAGAGTTAATAGCTAACTACCTAATTTATATACATCCTTTATATTCAATTTTGACAGCTTTAAGTTGTGTAATTTATTCATAGGGTATTATGATATAGCCACCCAACTTATATCTGAACCTATATCTGCTAAATCCAGAGCTACACTGCGTGCGTAGCATAACATGGTAGTGATATATAGGATGCAGGTTAAATTAAACGCACCCTATTCCGCCCCGATTCTCTCGTAGCGCAGATACAACGAATTGCTCTTTGGGTGCCCCGTATAGGCGTCAGTCTGTTCTATACCGTTGTCGTCTACGACATGGCTGGTGTAGTTGGCGTAGATGGCTGCGACGAGGAGTTTTATGTCTACATGGAGCCGACGAGTCTTCACGTTAGCTAGCTAGCCAGCCGTTGAACATGGACGATCGTATGGAATAGAGGGAATCCGAAATAGTAGAGCTCGGCGAAGAAGAAGGGGGTTACAGACCGTGCATGGCGAAGTTCGATCCCAGACACATCCTTCCGCCGCTCGAGAAGCCCCAGAAATGCCGGTTCACGTCCATTTTCCCGTCGCTGTCTTCTCCAAGGTCTGTTCCTCGGCGAAGCCACCGCGTGTGGTCCCACGTCTCCGGGTCGGGAAATGCTGCTTCGTCGCGGTGCAGGTTATACGCCGAAGCGGAGACGCGAACGCCGGCGGGGACTTCGTACGGACCGATGCGGCAGGATGGCGGAGGCGTGACGCGCGGCTCTGGACCGCCGGCGGGGGCGTACCGGCGGATTGTTTCCATGACTACGGCGTGCAGAAGGGGCAGACTGTCGAGTTGTTTCGAGTCCGGGAGCGGTGCCTTGCCGTCGTCGTCGTGGCCGATTTGGGGGCGGGGGTTTAGGGTGAGGAGTTCGGAGCGCAGGGCGCGCTGGAGGTCGGGGGATTGGGATAGCTGGTAGGAGAGGTATGTAAGTGCGACGCCGGTGGTTTCTTGTCCGGCTAGGACGTGGTCTAGGATCTCGGAGGCGATTGAGAGATCGCGTTGTTGGACTTTGATGGGGGCTTAGTAGGTATTTTGGAGTTCGTCGCTCCGTAAGTAGGTAAAGGGGGAGATAGGGGGGGTTTCCCATGTTACATACTGGCAGTCGTGTACAGCGGCGATGCCGTGCCGCTCGTCTCATACTCCTTCTCGATACCAGCCAGCAGAGCACGCACAACGACCGGATCATCCGCTGTGTTGATAGCAGACTCCTCGCCCGCTCCTTCATTCTCTAAGAAGTGTACTGTAGCATCACTCAACTCCTTACACCACGCCTCAAGCTCTCTATTTGCAGCATGAACCCAAGCGGGTGTAGGATCGAGACCGACGGCACTCAGAACCCTCGAGAGTCGCGGGAGCTCCTGGGCGAAGAAGCCGTAGCCCTTGCGGGTGGTATACAGCGAGAGCCAGTGGTCACGATAGGATTTACGGCGGATAAAGTCAGCGCTCCGCCGCATCCCGAAGCAGTACGCCGAGATGAAGTCCATGGCGGCAGCGCAGAACAACGAGTGCACGTCGATGCCATGCGGTTGCTGAGAAGCCGAGACAGATTCCCGGATAAGGGGTAGCAGCCGGGAATTGATGATGATGTCGGCCTGCGCGGCGAGGGCCGGCGAGGCGTTGATGTACGACTTGGAGTACACGTGGGACACCATCCTCTTGCGCAGGGAGTGGTGTTTTGCGTGCGCGGAGGAGAACATGCATGGGACGCTGTATATACAGTTTAGCATTACTTATTCGCTGTGAGAAGCAGAGAAAATAGGGGGAGAGGTATAAGATGAATAGATACCCATAGTTGTCAAAGAGCGAGTACCACTCGTGCTTATCGAAGCCGCCCTGGTATATGGTCTTGACGGCGTCGATGTTGTTGACGCTCAGCTCATTGGGGCCGATGCGCACGACAGGGCCATGTGTCCGGTGGATGGAGTGTAGAGTCCGGTTCTCACGGCTGTTGAAGCGAACCCATAGGATCCAGGCCGGCGAGACGGAGCACGACCAGTGAGGGGTGGGGATTCTGGAGAGAGGAGAGAATATGGTGGGATAGAATATGTATTTATAGATTAGAACAGCGGTGATTGTGAGTGTAGCTGGTATATAGAGATCGGAAATGTTAGATATCGCCATGATAGGGGGTGGTGTTTTTATGTAATTAGGTATTTACAAATATTCAAAATATTCAAAATAAAATATGTAGTAAGTATATTCAAGAAATTAATATATGTATTACATATTCTTATTAAAAGTTTTGAGTCCCTGATCTCGATCTTGCTTGTGAAGTCTATCGAGCTGTGTGTATCTCCCAACATAAGTTTTTAATATAAGGAGCAATGCTTATCGATCGAAGTCGGTCCCCGCTCGATGCATCGGTAGTGTTTAATGCAATATTTTAATTTAGCCGGGGTCCGAGTATCTCGTATGTATCATAACGTTGCACTTAACAAGACCAAGGAAAAGAAATCGTTACTCCAACGTATAAGTCACCGTGTTGGATTAGTTTCTAAATTATCCAAGTCTTGATTGGAAGGTAAAAAGCAATAGCCTAACCTACCTGTTAAAGCAATGACGCTACAGGGATTGATGAGGATGACAAGTATGAATGATTGGCTATAAAACGGGGGTTGGCTTTTACTGAGTCAAAGCCTTTGACTCATTCACTATTCGCACTATTCGCATTATTTGCACTATTCGCATTATTCGCACTATTCACACTAATATTCCTTTTAATAATTCTCTAACTTTCCTATAAATGAAATATTTTAAACACATTCACTCTATTTGATGCGACATGGTCTCTTGTTAATCTACATTGCAATTATATCTTTTTCTTCATACGAACAAGAGTTGCCACGAGCCTACGTCATATATAACCTGGTAAATAAGTAAATACACATACAAATACACACATTATCCAACTTACACCAGACTTCAGCTTTTATAAACCATAACTACACCAACATATACCAACATACACCAACTTCAAGTTCCATGGAGCTCCTTAGAATCTCCGACGAGGCCCCAAGCCTGACGACCTTACCTGACGATATTTTCTACATTGTGCTCACCTACTTAGATACGGCAAAGAGCGTTGCCAATTTGGCGGCATCTTCTAAAGGCTTGCATCATCTTGTTACTGAGAGTGGTTGGCGTATATTTGTCAAATCGCGCTTCAACACATTCAAACTGTCTGAAGTTTCGTCCGTGCATGAATGGCGGGAACGTGCCTATACACTAACTTCACAGTCGAGAGATTGGGATAGACGTGCCTTAGCTATTAGTGCCATCAAACCCGTCGCGAAGCATCGCGGGCGCGTCTTCAACCGCTTCGGTACTTCTCAGTCTATCCCTAGCAACTTCATAGTTGATGCCCATCACCAACGGAAAGGCAATGACGCTCAGGAACTCGTATTCTGGGGTGCCGGCGAGGACATCTTTGGTTTGCTGCGCCATACCCGAGGGCCCAAAGCTTCCAATGATGAGTGGTTCAGTAGCAGAGGCGCTACAGCTGGATACCATTCAGGCAAGGATGACGTAACTTGTGTATCTATCCTAAAGGATAGCAAATACAATTATGGCCAGGAAAGCGAATCACAAGTGTTAGTAGGCAGGGCCGGTGGTCACCTCCACTTGTTGTCGATGGGTGCTTCAAATTTTGGGGACGCGCTGTTAAAGTTCCGGGCTTCTTGTAACCCATCTTCCGAGCTCGATGCCAAAGCTCTCCGGCAGGCCGATATCCAGTCCCTGGATGTCAACTACAAGCAAGGCACACTCGCAGCAGCAACCAAGCAGAGTATCTTAACATACTCTCTTAATCACGACGTGCAACCTGTTCGCAATGCAAATGGCGAGGATGGCTTGGAAACAGGTGCTACGCCATACGTTTGGGCGGACGACGCTCTAGTATTAAAGGACGATTCACAGTCAGGAGCCTTCGAGTTTATCCGGACCATTAAATTCGTGAATCGAGACACTCTAGCGGTAGGCCTGAATAAAGGTTATAAGCCACTTCAGTATCTGAAATACACACCAACGGGGGTTGACATATCTTTCGCTGCGAAGACAAGCAATGACCATGATACTACCAATGACCATAAGCTCAGAACAGCGAGGGCAATCTTACCCGTGGATACAAGCTCACTCGGCAACGGCAGCGGAAACGCCGTGCTCAGTGCGTGGGACGATGGAATAATCCGTCTCCAAGACCTCCGTACACCATCTCCGGTGGACCAAATATTCCAAGACAACTTCGATCTCTCGACCCCGATCAATGCTCTGCTCTCGCGGGGTCTCGAGCGCTTCGTCGCAGGTAGTGCTTATTCCTCTGTGCTGAAGGTGTTCGACTACCGCTGGCCTAAGGGCTACTATCATACCGAGGCTCTCCCCTGCGGGAACGACGAGCCCTATCCAGCACCCCGACCTCCAACCATTGTAACAGAGCCGTCTTTCTCAGATGATCGCACTGCGTGCGACTACATGGCCGGCAAACGGTGTCGCTGGCATGAGCTTTCACAACACGATTACTACAGACCGAACTTCAACACATGGCTCCCGGTCTCCGCCAGGAATACCTCCCCCATCTACACGCTTGCATCGCCCTCGGACGATTCGCCGACGTTTTTCGCAGGACTCTCGGAGATGCTGGTCGAGATCACGCCTAAGAGCAGCACGCGGCCCGCAACACAACCTAGCTTCGGGCCCGCGAAAGATCTCGCATACGTCAGACAAGCTGATAGGGTGACTTTGATCGAGAACGGCTCCGGGTTCGCAGTGGATGATATCTTGCAGTCGCAGCGCGTGCCCCCGATGTATCGCCAAATCTTCAGGGACTTGACTGAACGTGACCGCGGGCACCCTGAACGCGCTATCTGGCGGAAACGAAATCGTTTAGATGAGTGGTTACAGCGTTGTGCCTAGCACACATAGACGTAGATTAGACCATAGAAAGATTTCCTTAGCTCCCGCTTGGGAATGATAACAATATACCTACATATATAGAACCTGATCTCATAGAGATATATATTAATTAATTATATACACGTTCTCGCGGTCTTACACTACCTACCTATATTAAGTCCTTGCCAGTGTAGCCCTACACCCAGTAAAAACATTTCTCATATAACCCATATATACTCATCGCCATAGCCATCATCGTATAGACATCTTAGAAACTCTTCCTAAGTATAGGGGCGATAACCCTCCCTACTATCACATAGCAAACTCGACATCCAACCCGCCCTGGGCGAATCCATCTTCACGCTTCGAGATCACGACCTCAACAGGGCGCCCCGGCTCCAGAATATGCACGGGCAAAACGCCGTCGTTCTTCGGTGGCACCTCGATCTTCCCACCGCGAGCAGGCTTCATATCGAACTGCAACACTACCAACGCAACGAAAACCAGGATCTCATTCATAGCAAAGTGGCGGCCGGGACACAACGTCTTGCCCCCGCCGAAGGCGCGAAACGCCGCCGGATGAAACGCGTTGCTCTGCTTCTGTCGGGGCTTAGAACTGGCTTCGGGGTTTAGGGCCTCGGCATCGGAGTTGCTGTTGGTCTTGTCGAGGAACCGCCTGGGGTTGAAGTCGGAGACGTCCGCGCCCCAGATCCGCGGGTCCGCGTGGATCACGCCGCCCGCGATCTGCACGACTGCGTTCTTCTTCAGGAAGTACTGGTTCGCGAGGAGGTGGTCCTCCTTTACGACGCGCGTCGAGTACGTGTCGGATCCGAGGCGTAGACACTCGCGGTACACGGCCACGAGGACGGGGCACTTGTCCCGGAGATCAGCGACGCGCAGGCCGTAGCTTGGCTTGGCGGTGCGCGCTGAGAGGACGGACTCGATTTCCCGGCGCGCGGTGGCGAGGAGCGCCGGGTCGGCGTATAGGTGCAGCAGGATCCAGAACGTCGAGGTGGTCGCGTTGACGATGCCGGCGAAGAGGAACGAAAGCTCCTCGCGCGCGATGGCAGGCGTCGCCCAGCCGTGCGCGAGCGCAATGTCCACGCGCTTCTGGACGATTTTCGACCCGCAGGATATGTGTCGCCCCGCCTCGAGATACGCGAGCAACGCGGCTGACAGCTTCTCCCGGCCCGCGTAGGCCCGGCGCGCGGTGACGGACGGGACGATGTTCACGAGCAGCGCGCCCAGCCCGTGGTCGAAGTCCCAGAAGGAGCCCTCGAGCGCGGGTTCCAGCGCGATGGGGTTCTCCGGCCCGTAGAGGTACCGTGCGGTCGACGAGGTGACGAGGTGGCGCACCCAGGCGAGCAGGTCGGTGGCGCCACGGCCCAAGGAGGGAGACGCAGCAAACGCAGCAATCTCGGATTTCATCTCGGCGGCGGCGTCCAAGCTCAGCTCGCCCAGGTACTCGCCGGGGCCGAGCCAGGCGGAAACCATGTCCTGGATGTCGGGCAGAAAGCCGCGCTCGGCGCCGGGGCCGGGGCCGGGGTCGAGGTTCTTGCGGGTGATGTCGACGGCGGCGGCGTCGAGGCCGAGCACGCGCTGGACGACGTCGGGCACGACGGGGTTGAAAGACAGGATGCGGGACGCGCGCTGGACGGCGGCTGCGAGGGACGGGTCCGTGACGACGTAGATGCGCGACCCGGGCACGGGCAGGGTGAAGATGGGAAGCTGCCGGTTGCGGATGCCGAGGTTCTTGACGTACCGCCCGCCCAGCAGCGCCATGCCTAGCAGGTGTCCGACCAGGGGGATGGCGGGCGCGATGACGGGGGGCTCGCGCGGATCGGTCTTCCGCGACGAGAGTTGGTATGCGACGAAGTAGACGGTGATGAAGGTGACGATGGCCGCGGTGCCGGCTGAGAAGGGCCACCAGTCTGGGGCGAGTTCACTGAACGCCATTGTCTTTTTTTCTTTTTTTCTATTTTTCTTTGCGGATTTGCGGATTTGCTTCAAACTTAGATCTGTACATACAACTCTGGCGAGCTTCGTTTAGTTCTATAACCTCATGACGATAGCTTGTGAGCTATCACCTGTAAGCTTTGAGTTAGCGAACCGACCTTTTGGTGGGTGTATTGGTATATCAGAGAATTAGAGACTAAATAAGAAGCAACTTGGCAGTAAACCCTTTCAACGACACGACGACTTTTTCTAGCACATTGCCAAAGTCTACAAGACGCTGCTTTCTCCAAGTTGTGTCTTGAGACTGTGTCTTGCCCCAAATCGGATTAACTAAAGGAGAGAAGTACGACTTACAGACTCGAGGTTTTATTAGTTGGTCCGAGGTAAGATATAAACACGTCCAACCAAGCCTTCTTGCTACTCTTAAAAACTCCAACTTCTAGAAACTATGAGGCGAATAGTTAATAAATTTTTATAATTACAGATCATAACGTGACATCAACAAGGATCCCCCGCAATTGGATTGGTGAAGCTCGAGGAATTGATTGTCACTTTACCCAACCGCTCCCCTAAAAGACGCCTCATTGGTGCATATATGCTTGTAATTGAATGAGTACATGAGTACAATTTACCCCTGAATTGATGTTGGTAGGTAGGTAGTTAACGCTTCACATCAATGGTTCGTCGGTTCAAAAAGGGTATGAGGGGTATAATACCATGTCTTGTAGGTAAGATTATACAATAGACTTTAACCTAACCTAGGAAGATGTATTGTAGATTTGGTGTTACTACTTGAATGGAAATATACCTAGCTTAGGGAGAATATGGAGTTGTCTTAGTAAAGAAGTACTTCGTAAGACCTATAGCTTTTATCGTATCCCTTCCTTTGATTGATTGCGGAAGTAAGGGTTAAAGTAAACAAGAGCATACTTAGCTTCTTTGAGAGGTACGTACGATAACTATATTTAGAATAATTAAAGGGCCATATATAAGCTAGTTAATGGTTCTATAAACATGGTGACCAGCCGATATTAAAATTCATATAGTAACAACTAACGTCTCTCTCCCGAGACATAAATGGGAAGTTCGCATCGCTACTCAAGTATTGTTAGTATTGTTAAATAGATTTAGCACATGCTTTGTTTTAGGTAGTTATAATGTCCTAAAGGGCTTAAGTTGAGGTTGTTTAGTATTGACCTTAGTTAATAAATTCCAAAGACCAAGTAAACACACGCCCTCTATTATAATTCTTTTGATCACTTCTCGAACCTACTGGATTGGCGAATACACACATGTAGTAGATGTTAAGCTGTCAATAAATCTAAGGAATGACTGGAATGAAAGTTATATTTCTTTAATAAGATCTTTTCATCAGAGATAGTCAGTGTATATCTCAATAGCACACAATATGAACGTTTTAGTGGCTGCATTATCGAGAGCGAGTACTTCATCGCAAGTTGATAATGGAGGTCCTAGTCTTATTACTCATATTCGAAATATATTTACGAGTAGTAAGTAGATTAATAGTTGTTGAATATAAGTGATGTAAGGTATGTTGGCGGTACATTCGTGGCTGGTGAATCTAGACTAGGTCTGATGATACCGAGGTACGCAAGGCAGGCGATTTACGGTCATTGGTGATCGGCGCAGAACGGCTGACGTTGTCGGTGTGGCTTGTGCGTAGGTCCACGTCTGCTCGTTGCGCCGCAGCAGGTACCTAGCCTAGAAGGCGCCGCCGGAACAACGAAGTAGTATCAGGTTGCCAAGGGTCCGTTAGGTACAATCGTACTTAGGCCCATTGGTTAGGGAATTTGCAGATCCACCGAAGCTCCTAATTGGCTCATGTGGATTGTTTGTACATCTGTACAATACGAGCAATGTAACACAGACGCCTGGCAGACGCAAGAAAGAACCACAGTCAAGAAACACAGTCAGCCATCATCAAGTTCAACTTCTTAAAAAACATTTAAAAACATTTAAACATCAACAACTTTGTTGCCCACGACCTCGCTTGTTTTCTCTAGCATAAACAACCACACACTTTCATGACTACGGCCGTTGCCTCGAAATAGTATTACGAATAAAACGATCGAGAAACGTAACCTAGACCGTTAGCTGGGTTTATTGGTATTCTACAAGACCTTTGCTACCGAATCGCAAACAGACCCATCCCGTCCCGATTTATCCAGTCGTCGTCAGCGCCCGTCTCCGGTTAAGGCTTTCGACCTCCCGCTTTCGATATTATCGATACAGTCAGTTCATCGACGACTATCAACCTTCAAGATGTCTCTCAAGGACGAGTTTGCGACGAGGAACTTCAGTAAGCCATTTATCTGTTGATCAGGCCACCATGGCCTCCCCAGTTAGTGATTGAGCAGAAGCTAACAACGGCGCAAAAGGTATTTACGGACAATGGTAAGCTTCCGGATGGGATCTACTTGTTTTCCTTTGGACCACCCCATGCGACATGGCCAAGTTCAACCTATACGATATTCCCGCTATGCAATATTAATATCACCTCCCTACGCCTACTTTGGCTTCTAGAACCATTCTCAAATCTACCCACATTGTTTATGCATCTATGCTTTCATACCCAACGTTTGGTTTTATCTGTGAGGGGCTGGTTAATTGATGGCTAACATACTTCTCTTCGGATAGGCTTGGAATCTTGTCTATGCTCCTATGCTTTGCGCTGGGTGTCTCGAACCTGTTCTATCTTTTCCTCCACCCTCTCATCATCATCTTTGCCATCTTCGCTCTGTAAGTTCCTCTCCTTTCTGAACGGCTGCATAGGAAAAATTACCTGGAAGCTAAACTGTTATCGACAGTGTCTCCTGCTTCGTCATCCTCTTCATCGAGGTACCCCTCCTACTCCGAATCTGCCCTACCTCGGCCTCGTTCGATGCTGCGATCCGCAAGGTTTCGACTAACTACATGCGTGCCGCTACTTACGGCGTCATGGCTATTATCCAGTGGGTTAGCATTGCCGTCGCTGCAACGTCCTTGATCGCCGCCGCCGTCGTCCTAACATTCACGGCTCTTTGCTATGCCCTTGCTGGTGTCAAGGGTCAGGCCTTCGTCGGAAGCAAGACGCTAGGCGGTGCAGGTGTTGCACAAATGATCGTATGATCGGGTAATAATGTGGACAAGTCAACAACCTCGAAGGCTAGGCAAACGCACTACTACTACCCCTTGGCTTATATAGGGGGTAGCTGACGAGGAAATATTACTACCAATATGATCAACGAACGCCAGGGAAGCTTAGTAAAAGGAGTTGTGTCGCGTGGAGGGAGTGTAGCTTTTGGGTCATGTTCTTTTATGCAGAAGGAGGGAAAAGGGAGGGTTTGCATTGTCTTTTGATGTTTAGGGAACGGCGTAACGGAATACGATGCAAGCAAGACGGCTGCGGAATGTTCTTGTTTTCCCGGACTCGTTAATGCATCCAGAATGGAAGAGATACCCCAGTCTGGTGCTGGTGTTTTGAATCGGATACCGCTTTTGAACCTCTTATCGTCGCTGTGCTACTTGGTCTTTATCTAACTGTTGGCCTACGGATAAGTATATGAGTAGCAGCCTCAGTATTGTTACCTATTTCTAGTCTATCTACCGGTCGATATACCCTTGATCAAATCCCATTGGTAACCATTATTCCGGTAGTTACCAGAGATTCAAGGAGATCCCAACAGTACCGTAGTGGTAAGTTAGCGTTGATCTACCGCAATTTTAGAGCAAGGGATCAGCTGCTCTAAGAGGAGATCTAGACTCTAAAGCGTCATGAAGATAATATATAGAAGCTTAAGCCCCCCACATAAAACCCCCACTATTCAAGTCTCCATAGCTGATCGATGAGTTCATAGGTAACTCATCCAGCTCGATCTGACCATCTAGAATGTCCAAAGACAAAGATTTACATTGCATATACGACTCAATCACGTATTTAAATAGTCAAATAGCGTAGATACGATAGAATTGGGGTGGAAAATCGGATTAGTTACGGTAGTGAAACTCAATCGAGAAGTTCCATGGTCTTGTTTATTTATCTAAAGTAAAAAGAAAGATATTTCTACATAGGTTAAAAGATTACTACCGTTATTATAGCTGACTAGCTATAAACCACCTAACCTAGGTAGGTTAATTAGCTTTTAACATACCTGATGCGTGTATTCGTGGCCCACGAAGCGGGGAACCAGGATGGAGGCGCGATCACGATGATGTACCGGTCTGCCCTGCTGCGCTTAAGACCGGAGTTTTACTCATGGCCATCCATCCAGCCATCCTATCAAAGCGGTTTCAAGTCTTCTAGTACGTATCAATCATAAGGTATGTATGCAGTTTTATGCTTGGTGATGCTCCGTGTAAGACACAAACTTGTCGATAGACCGAGTTGCTACATACCGAAAGAGAGGAGCCGGGTGTGCTGCACGTATTTATCGAAGAAGCTCGACGGACCGCAGAGCGGAAAAGCAGATCAGGGACCGGCCTACACTAGCCCACCGAGTGGTTCTTTTATATGTATGTAGGTACCTAGGTTACTAACCTATATATGTACACAATGCATTATTGCTCGATTCACCGTAAAAACTCTGACGCACTACGCATCTTTTACCCCATAATCAGATGACTATCGGTTGAGAGCTAATGTAGGTAGGTAGTCTCTTGGTACATGTGAGGCTGATTGCCTAGGGTATACTTATGTATTATTGGAGTAGGTATGTTTATCGCATAGTATTTTGCGCCTGTTTTGTCACACTTGCGTTTTATGGTAGATGCGGCATTACAAGGTAAGACTTTTATTCTATAAGAAGTTTTAATGCATTGAAAAAGCATTGAAGACGAATACCTACATGTAGGTAAGTAGATACCTAGGTACTGTAGGTACATATGCAGTAGTAAAGCTTAAAGACGGAACTCTTAAATACATAATGTTCTGATAATCTTTAGTCTATGTACATAATTACGATATAGCTTTGAAATATGAGTTACTGCGTAAATGTATTTTCATGTATTTTCATACTGTCATTATACTGTTTCTTTTTCTACCTAATATATCACTTGCACTAACCCCATCCTGACCTATCCGCGCTAAAAGAATATGTTGAGGGGCAGAGGGGTGGTACAAGTTTACAAGTTCTCGCTGAAGAGCTCTAGGTTAAGGGGTTATTGACCTATTGCGCGGTTGCAATTGGTCAGGTTTCAGCTCCAGACCGCCTGCAGGCGTAAAGGAGATGGATGGTGAGTTGCAGTTGTGTGTACCCCGAGCGTACCCCTCATTGCCGATTTGTTGCGGCCGGCAAGAGCTTGTGACTTGGAAGAGAACATACCTCATGTGCATATAGGAGGTAGTTATATGCGGGGTACATCGAATACCTAGGTACCTTACCTATTAGTGTAGACTCATACACATACATGTATGTATGTACAACAATAAAATTTTTCAACATTACATCCACATCCTTGTACAAAACGAATTGCTGGTAGCTAATAGAAATCAATATTATTCCATTCCATGACATCGCCAACGGCTTCAGGTACTTTGTCTGGTGCAGCCGATGTTACTAATAACCTACTGCTTGGGAGATGCCGTCCCCGTCTGCTAGGTCCCCGTCTGCTAGGGTGTAAGATGGGAGGTGGGCAAGTATAAAAGTCATCTGGGTCCCTCTCAGTTTCATCATCGTGATCTTAGTTACAGATTCGAAACTTACATATATTCAAATATATTCAAAAGCAGAAAATCCCTTTGTTTAATGAAGAACGAACTTACATACCTCAACTTATACTTGCTCGGTTGCGCAATTGGTAACCGCTTGTTGCAATTCTGATTCCAATTACGGCTAATCCCGATCGACCTTTTACATCATCGTTTTCGACAAGGTTTACTTTTTATTTTCATCTACGAAAAAGGACATCCTTTTTTTCCCCCTTCCTCACTTTACAACCTCAAAGACTCTTATTGAATAAGAGACCACCACCAAATACCCAAATTCCCAAATACCACAGTCGACAGCGGACAGTGAACAGACATAGACATTCTACTCGACATACCAATCGAGATCGACTTAACGTTGCTGACCTGGCCAAGTCTAACATACATCGACCACCAACCAATCAAGTCACGAACGTGTAAGTGGCCATGCACAAAGCTTTCTAGGAACCCCTCCATCGTTTGAAAACTATCCCACCTTCTTTGCTGGCAACTGAAGCTTTTTACTTTCTTCTTTTCCTCTCCTATAAGCAGACCCTCGTCTTGTCAACTTGTCTCGTCGAGGAAGGGGTAGTGTAATTGACAGGATACGAGAACCTCATCTACATTCCAATGGCACTCTGACAGGGAAAAAACGTGGCTGTATCGCCAAGTTCGTTCCCGTTGCTTGATAGCCACTTCATTCCTCAGATGTCTATGCATAACCTACCTAGCTTATCACTAGAACCTCTCTTATCTTCTTCACATAATATCTTTTATCTCTTCACCGCATGATACGGAAGGGAAACCGGATCTAACGAGTAGACGACTAGACAAGCGTAAAACCTGACTTGGTCCCATCACCCGGTCTCATTTTAGTGCATCTGACCGATAGTTGCGATTCCTGCGAGATTCTTCAAGCCGTCTTGTTCTAATAATTCGTAAAAACTCTTGCGTTATTGGGTATTAGCTTGACGGTCCCGTACGGAGATATTTAAAGCCCATCAAACCTATCAAACCTATCAAACCTATCAAACCTATCGAACCCGTCGATATTTATGCGGTACGTATTAATTACCTAGGGACCTATATTAACTAGGACTCTTCAGCCCCTAAACCCACAAGAAATCTATTCGGTGTACTATGTATGGCCGGCGGGATGGTCGGTAGTGGGATTGTGGATACTTTTAATATGTCATCGTTGGCCTATCCTCGTTCACAGTTCACATAAACCTGGCCATTGCGGTCGAATATTAACCATTCGACTCTTTTTTCTTTGCTGACATTTTACCTACTTGGGTCTTTTAGGTCTCTTCATCGCCGATCGCAACCGAATCTTCATTGTTTCGAGCATTTAAGCTAACCACTGTGTTTCCCCCCTATAAGCTATGTCTGCTGCCACGATGCAGTCAGTCCCGGCTATCCCCCCTCGTCCCGCAAGGGCTCAAGACAAAGACAATGGCTCAACCGTACCTGCGATCCCTCCGCGTCCCAGCCGCCGGTTTAATCGTTCCGTTTCTCCTAACCCGGATCGATTTGCTCCCTCACCTCTAAACGAAAGTCCATTCCCACCGAAAGGTACCGGCGCTGCTCGACACAGTCAAACCCATCTTGGTGAGGAACTGGAACGTCCTATGAGCGTTGAGATGCCCAATGTAGGCGAAGAAGGTCGGGAGTATGCTGCAGCTATCGAAGGGCTGGGCTCTCCGGAGGCCAGCCGTCGTTCGTCTACTTCTCCCGAACAAACCCGCACTGTTGGCGCGGACATCAAATTGTACGCACCAAAGCCAACAATGCCTGCTCAGAGTGCTAAACAGCGAGTCGCTACGGTAACTCGCACCGATTCCGATAAGGCTGCAGCTTTTGGTATCGGACGTCCTTCCTACGAGGAGCAGGCTTATTCGAGCCGCAGCCTGAAGAAGAAGGCAAGTACTACGAGTCAGCTTTCCCACCAGAGTGAACTCTTCACCGAGGATGAGGTTGGCATCCCTGAGATTGGACAACGGGTACCCATGTTAGCCAATGCAGGCGATGTTCAGGCACCCTCGCCTGCTCCAGCCCCGAGAGCTGCGAGCACCGACGGGACAAGGCCTGCTGTTCGGCACCACACCCGGAAGACGAGTTCCCGCGGTTTTAGCGAGCTCCCATCTGATGTCTACGGCCTCCATGGGCACGGCGTTGCATCAACAGACAAACTTGACAAGGCCTATTATGAAAAACATCCCGACGCCCTCCAGAAGGAGCGCTATAATCATCTTCATGACCGTGTCCACGACTACTCGATGAGTAGTGAGGATCTCAACAAGATCGTTCGGAATACAGCCAGCCGCGGCGCTGGTTTTGGTAACGCAAACAGTCAATAAAACTTTGGAGTGGTTCTAACCGATGATTACAGGTACATCAACAGATTATGTTGGGACTCCTAGCGAGCAAGTCGGTTATCGAGCAGCGGATGAATACACCTCACGAATTTCGTCTCCCCAGCCGCCATCCACGGCTCCCAAGCACGATACGAAGGCCCTAAAGGATGAGACTGCCGATAATGCTGACGGCAACAATGTGATTCATGTAGACGAGCCAGATCGACGTAAGGGATTTGCTAAATTCGGTGATGAGAAATCTACTAAGGGTGAAGGTGCAGAGGAAATACACAGTCATCCGATTTTAGCCCCTGACGAAGTAGCCAAAGACACCTCTCCTTATCAACTACAGCCTGCCGTTGAGCCTCGGTCGGAACGACATGGCAGTGCATACGAAATGGAGGGACCTAAGAGTCGTCCTACAAGCAGACCTACAAGTGTGTACAGCCCACCACCGCCGGAGATGCATTCAACCCCTTTGGAGGATGT